CAACTATTTCTGTCCCGCCCGGGAATCGAACCCAGGATCCAAGATTGGGAGTAGAGAACGGAGCCAACTACACTAAGGACGTAAAATATTGGTACGCAATGCATCTCATACTCATTTTGTGAGAGGTAGTTTATTATGCACCCCATTACTCATCCTGTGAGCGGTAGTGCAAAATGATGGTTGCAGAGAGCACAGGTCTTAATCAGACTTGGTGGATGGTGTTGAAAAAGACTTGCAGTTATATGCCAACATAACTAATTTTTGCTCTGTAATTGCTGTGTAATAACACTGTTCATTGAAGTTACACACACAAGGACATCACAGTAACATATGACTATATCCAACTTCCAAGATAAAATTTTTGGAGCAAGATACCTGGTTGATACCTGGTTGATGGGGTTCTGGGAGTTCTACTACTCCCCCAAGCCCGGCCCGAGGACATACTTGACTTGTGAGAGTTTGGTCCACCAGGCTGTTGCTTGGAGCGGCCCGCAGGCCCATATACCCACCACAGCCTGGTTGGTCCGGCACTCCTTGAAGGAAACAATCTAGTTTCCTCTTGAAGATGTCCACGGTTGTTCCTATAATATTTCTGATGCTCGCTGGTAGGACGTTGAACAACCGCGGACCTCTGATGTTTATACAGTGTTCTCTGATTGTGCCCATGGCATTGAATGGGCACGTACCGCTGGGAAGACAATGGCACTGAACCAGCCTCCTGGGTACCTTCTTTATTAGAAGCAAAATATGGAAACTGTGCAAGAATTTCATATATTTTTTTAATTAAAATCAAATAATGTTCCATTTTAAGTAACATTATCATAGAGATTTCTCTAAATGACAAAATGTTCACAGTGTATAAGATGATCTAATGCGTGTGCCAATCTTTGTCCCCAGGCTTGACAGTTCAGGTCATCAAGAACGCTATACAAGCTGAACAGTCAAAGATGGTTGTTGCCGGGCAGTGTTGGAGGTGCGGTAATACCTCTCAGTCTACAGGTGTGTGGACCAGAGGGGCTCCGGGAGGCAGTGTTGGAGGTGCAGTAATACCTCTCAGTCTACAGGTGTGTGGACCAGAGGGGCTCCGGGAGGCAGTGTGCACCACCGCCGCTGGAAACTAACCATAACAACAACACATTAAAGATAAAAGACGAGACGTTTTTGACCACAAATATGTTATAACACACGTCTATGGGGAGGGGGCCCTCCCGGCTGTGTAGACAGCACTCGGGAGTCGTAGTTCTAAGGGCTCGGGTTCGATCCCCGGCGGAGGCGGGAACAAATGGAGTTTCTTTCACCCTGATATTCTTATTCACCTAGCAGTAAATAGGTACCCGAGAGTTAGATAGCTGCTACGGGCTGCTTCCTGGGGATGTGTGTACTCACCTAGTTGTGCTTGCGAGGGTTGAGCTATGGCTCTTTGATCCCGCCTCTCAACTGTCAATCAACTGATGCACAGGTTCCTGAGCCTACTGGGCTTTATCATATCTACACTTGAAACTGTATATAGAGTCTGCCTCCGCCACATCACTTCCAAATGCATTTCATTTGTCAACTACTCTTGACACTTTAACAAAAAAAAATCCAATGTCTCTATGGCTCATTTGGGCACTCAATTTCCACCTGTGTGCCCCTTGAGTTAAATATTCTGTCTTTATCTATCCTATCAATTCCTTTGAGAATCTTGTATGTGGTGATTATGTCCCCTCTAACTCTTCTGAATCCTAGCGATGTGATGTTTAATTTCCGTAGTCTCTCCTCGTAGCTCATACCCTTCAGTTCGGGTACTATAGTCTGGTGGCAAACCTTTGAACCTTTTCCTGTTGTGTGTGTGTGTGTGTGTACTCACATATTTGTTGATCTCGCCTCTCAACTGTCAATCAACTGGTGTACAGATTCCTGAGCCTACTGGGCTCCATCATATCTTCATTTGAAACTGTGTATGGAGTCAGCCTCCACCACATCACTGCCTAATGCATTCCATCTGTTAACTACTCTGACACTGAAAAAGTTCCTTCTAACGTCCCTGTGACTCATGTGGGTAACTCAGTTTGCACCTGTGTCCCCTTGTTCGCGTCCCACCAGTGTTCAATAGTTTATCCTTGTTTACCCGGTCGATTCCCCCTGAGGATTTTGTAAGTTGTGATCATGTCTCCCCTTACTCTTCTGTCTTCCAGTGTCGTAAGGTGCATTTCCCGCAGCCTTTCCTCGTAACTCATGCCTCTTAGTTCTGGGACTAGTCTAGTGGCATACCTTTGGACTTTTTCCAGCTTCGTCTTGTGCTTGACAAGGTACGGGCTCCATGCTGGGGCCGCATACTCCAGGATTGGTCTTACATATGTGGTGTACAAGATTCTGAATGATTCCTTACACAGGTTCCTGAACGCTGTTCTGATGTTAGCCAGCCTCGCATATGCCGCAGATGTTATTCTTTTTATGTGGGCTTCAGGAGACAGGTTTGGTGTGATATCAACTCCTAGATCTTTCTCTCTGTCTGTTTCATTAAGTACTTAAGTATTCTGTATCCTGTGTCTAGCCTCCTGTTTGCACTGCCTAGTTTCATTACTTTGCATTTACTCGGGTTGAACTGTGTGTGTGTGTGAGAGAGAAAAATATATGTAGTAGATATAAAAGGAAAAACAGATTGGTTAGAAAGGCAGGGTTCAAGAGCTAATAGCTCGATTCTGCAGACACAAATAGTAAATAAAAATAGTAAATACACATACACATACCTCTGTACACCAATAGATTGACCGTTGAGAGGCGGGACCAAAGAGCCGAAGCTCAACCCCCGCAAGCACAACTAGGTGAGTACACATAAAAAGACAATAAGCTTCATATAATCATATATCAACACTAAGGAATGTTCAGCCTCGACACTCTCTATACAGTATATGGTTCACCATAGTAAGGGGCAGGACGCCTGTTAGGCTTATCGAGGTCTCTTAAGGCCAACTACGTACTAACCTTTCCCAGGAAGCGAACCACAACAGTTATTTAACTCCAGGGAACCTATTCACTCTTAGGTGAACATAGGCATCAGACGAAAGGAAACGTTGCTTAAACGCTTCTGTCCTGCAGTGAAAATCGAGCCACAATCCTTTCAATTTTGACCGGACTGCGCTGACCACTGTACCATAGAACCAAAACAAAGCTCTATTAAAGTTCACAACCTCGACCATTACCTTAATAGACCCTAACCAGCAACACCAAAATAATCGCTAGAAACAGCGACAATAGGAGTTTTGATATGACAGAAGAAATTCCCATCAAACACTCACATTAAGTTATCAAGAGCCAGCTCACACCTGGGTACGTCTCTGCATCAACACAAACAAAAGAAAACTGCCAATTCACGCCCCGTCTACAACCGTAGCCGACCAATGAGAACACAGGAACAGATTACCGTGTTGTGTTGTTAGGGTAACCATCTCTTCGCTAATTACTCCCGCAGCTGTGGCGTGGTGCCCACACTCACAGCTGTGGTATGGTGCCCATACCCGCAGCTGTGGTATGGTGCCCATACCCGCAGCTGTGACATGATGCCCATACCCGCAGCTGTGACAAGGTGCCCATACCCGCAGCTGTGACATGGTGCCCATACCCGCAGCTGTGACATGGTGCCCATACCCGCAGCTGTGACAAGGTGCCCATACCCGCAGCTGTGACATGGTGCCCATACCCGCAGCTGTGACATGGTGCCCATACCCGCAGCTGTGACAAGGTGCCCATACCCGCAGCTGTGACATGGTACCCACACCCGCAGCTGTGACATGGTGCCCATACCCGCAGCAGTGACATGGTGCCCACACCCGCAGCTGTGACATGGTGCCCATACCCGCAGCAGTGACATGGTGCCCACACCCGCAGCTGTGACATGGTGCCCATACCCGCAACTTCAAAGGCAAATATGGCAAGTTATACTCAAGACGTCACTGCTAATCCAGTCGATAGCTGGAGAGGCGGTTCTCAAGAGCTGAGAGAACAAGTAGGAGAGTATACAGACAACCACACTCACACACACACACACACACATACTAAGCAAGTTCAAATCCGGATGTCCGCCCAAAGACATTGAGAGTCACACGTACACACATGTACACCAACAATTGAACGTTCTGGTTGAGGTACGCTGGGGTGAGCGTCCCCTGGAGGAGTGTGTTTGACTTGGCGGACCCACTCACGCCGGGGGGGTCCATCGGATGCTCTCTCGTCACCTTCCTTTTCGCCTTCATATATACCACCTTCCAGCTCACACTTTATGCTCCTTTGTCTTCTCTTGTGCATAAAGGTGCTAAACGGAAAGGAAGGAATGTTGATCAGGATATATATAATGGACGCAAGGTGCACGAAACTTGGCTAAGCCCAATGATGGCGTTTATCTGGTGGAAGTTAATTGCAAGAAGCGAGCAGAGGTCAGTGGCCGCACTAGCACATACATAAGGGGGGACCAAACATGTCCTGGTAAGACTACTGCAGCAGGCGGTGCAGAGGGAGCACCTGGACGCTCCACGACTTGCCCGCTGCCACTTACACCTGTCGCATCTCCTGACGAAGAGCCTACAAGCGTAGTATTTTAAGAACAATTCACCAGTCACAAGAACTGTGCTCGATTTATGGCAGCATAATCTAGCTTTCATATAATTAGGCTATTAGCTATGCAAACACCAGTTAAGCAAGGAGCAGTACCCTAAGTGTTTTCACTGGCCAAGACCAAATTATATATTAGTGAATCGAGACTGAAAATTAGTAATAAATACATATTAGGAGAGTGAAGCCTACAACAAATGTGTTGTTTCAAGGACGAACACCGGATATAAACTGTAACTGGACTAAGATTTATTATAGTCGCTGAAGACACGAATAGCTGCTCATTATGTGCTTCTTAATGAGCAATAAACAAGCGAATTCTTAGACTGTGAACGATGACCTGCACTGGAGGACTTGGCTTGTGACCTGTGCACTATATATATACAAAATTACAAACTGCCGATAGAATCATGGCCGGTGGCCCTACACTCACCATCCTGGCGACGACAGGAATTTTGCTCCTGATAGTGTGTTTGTCGGAGGCCAACTCGACCTTCCCGCTGGAGGAGGACATAAAAAAGGATGACCTCAGCGAGTACGACTACAGCGAGGAGGACGCAGGCATCCATGGGACGGAGAAGGTATGGTGTGTGGTCGCCCTCTGGGGGTCGTCGGTGTCCACAGACCCACCACAGCCCTTGTCTGTCTTAGCCAAGAGCTGTGTAGCTTTAATGATTCTTAGTCTCTCCTATATATTTCTTGCTTTTATTATGCCTAACCCATTATCTAACCTAATTTATGCTAATCAAATTATATACTATCTTGGGTAATCTAGCAAAAACTGAAACGGTCTACATCAAACTAAACGAGTCTTCAAATTCAAATTTACCGTTTTCCAGTTTCTACCTTTCTACATGTTCTGTGGTGGACGGTATCATGGAGAGAGAGCTTAGAAAGTCAGGCGTCTCACTATCGTCACTACTACACTAAAGACGATGGTGTATACCGTCGTCACTACCGCACTAATGACGATAGCGTATACCGTCGTCATTAGTGCATGTGTACACCACTGTCACTACTGCACTAATGACGGTGGTGTATACCATCGTATACCACGTCCCCGTGGTGACTGTACACCACTGTCACTACTGCATGTCCCGTGGTGACTGTACACCACTGTCACTACTGCATGTCCCCATGGTGACTGTACACCACTGTCACTACTGCATGTCTCCATGGTGACTGTACACCACTGTCACTACTGCACGTCCCCGTGGTGACTGTACACCACTGTCACTACTGCATGTCCCCATGGTGACTGTACACCACTGTCACTACTGCATGTCTCCATGGTGACTGTACACCACTGTCACTACTGCACGTCCCCGTGGTGACTGTACACCACTGTCACTACTGCACGTCCCCGTGGTGACTGTACACCACTGTCACTACTGCACGTCCCCGTGGTGACTGTACACCACTGTCACTACTGCATGTCCCAGTGGTGACTGTACACCACTGTCACTACTGCACGTCCCCATGGTGACTGTACACCACTGTCACTACTGCACGTCCCCGTGGTGACTGTACACCAGTCACTACTGCACGTCCCCATGGTGACTGTACACCACTGTCACTACTGCACGTCCCCATGGTGACTGTACACCACTGTCACTACTGCATGTCCCCATGGTGACTGTACACCACTGTCACTACTGCATGTCCCCGTGGTGACTGTACACCACTGTCACTACTGCATGTCTCCATCGTGTATAACTTTATCACTACTGCATGTGTCCCCATTGTGTTTACCATTGTCACAACTGCACATGTCCTCATGGCGTATACAATTATCAGTACTGCACGTATCTCCATGGTGTATATCTTTGTCACTAATGCACGTACAGTATCCCTATGGTGAATACCAGTCACTATTGTATGTCCCCCCATGGTGCATACCATCATCACTACTGCACATGTCCCCATGGTTTAAACTATTGTCACTACTGTACCATGTCTCCACACACAGGGGCCTGATGGCTGAGTAGACAGTACTTCGGATACGTTGTCCTGAGGTTCTGCTGGGTTCGATCCCCAGTGGAGGAGGAAACAAATGGGAAACAAATGTACCCAACATGAACTTGAGTCCTGGCTTTGTTGCTGTGGACTCTTCCCTTTCACAGTATATACTCAAATGCTCTAATCTTTCTAACAAACGTGACTTAACATAAGCTTTCCCCCTTCCATTTCTTTCTTTCTCTTTCCTTTTCTTTCTCTCTTCTCCCTTTTTCTGTTCATTGTCTTCTCCTACGCTCCCTTGCTATCCTCTTCTTTTTTCCTATTACTATCTCCTTCGGTGGTTATAATAGGAGCTGCCTCGTATGGGCCAATAGGCCTGCTGCAGTTCTCATTACTACTATCCCCTACACCTGACTTTCCTCCTCAGCTCTCTCTTGCCTATTTATTGCCTGTCCCTACCTCCTCATCACAATCGACTTGAGAATGGTCCAGGACGGACCGAAACGTCGTCGTCCCTTCAATTTCTAGTGTGTGGTCTGGTCAACAAATGGGCAGGGTTTCTTTCACCCAGATGCCCCTGTTACCTAGCAGTAAACAGGTACCTGGGAGTTAGACAGCTGCTATGGGCTGCTTCCTAGGGGTGTGTAACAAAAAGAAGGCCTGGTCGAGGACCGGGCCGCAGGGACGCTAACCCCTGAAATCTTCTCATCTCGGATACGGTGTACAGTACAGCATTATTATTATTGCACATGTCGATACACCATCGTCACTACTGCATGTGTCTCCATGATGTACACCACCGTTACTACTGCATGTGTCCCCCATGATTTATACATTACAGTATTATTTTTGCCTGTACCACCCACAATTATAGGGACCAGCTGTATAAATAAATCACAATCATGTGTCAGGGGCAAAATACATTTATTGTCATAAATACAGAGGTATGTAAACTTCAATAAGCACTTAAGTAATTTGTTTAGTGTATGGAAGTATACTTTACATAATTTGAACACAGCTCAATAACAGTATTCTCACTCTGAACACAGTTTATATTCAGAGATGTGAGTTGGGCAGGATTTAGATTAAGCTTCTAAATGCCATCTTTTATTTTTTCTAATTCTGAGATTATTTCCAGCTGTATAACTGATATATTCCAGATATCTTGTTGGTTACTGTTTTTGGATATCTATAGAAACATTATTCACATCAATTATTCTTAAGGCATATTTTCTCGTAGAAAAAGATTAGAGATTTTACTTGTAGATGATACCTCACCTATTATGGCTTTATTAAATCTACCAGAATTACATTTGACTAATGCTTGCAGTATATACAAAAAATTAAATGAAGAATGAGCTCTGTGAGGCAAAGGAGGTTGAGGTCAGTGATGGTGAAGGAAGGACTAACTCATCATAAAAAAAAGAAGACTAGAATCTGCACCTATCAAACACTACATCATCGAACAGAATGAAGCAAAATTAAATATTGCTCCCCCCTCATGCTAAAGTATTAAGTCTTATATAAAGGTAAAATATAACACAATCCTTCATGTCTTGCCTACACCTCATTAACCTCACTGCTCTGTTTTTTTTCCTTTTATAAGCATTAGTACTGTTTATATCTGTTAGATTTGATAAACGCCCAAAGAAGGAAAGCATCACGTACATATAAAGTGTACTCTCATTTTGGTGTTTCTCTAATGCATTGTCGTCAGCACTTTGTGATCTTTACAACTAATTGGAATTTCCTACAATTGTAATACTTCTGGTAAAGACTGAATGGCCAGTGATTTTAAATGTCTGAAAAAATAAACTCATGCTGTTAGCCAGAAGGGTGATTCCATAGTTATAAAATTATATCATTAGACTGAATTATTTCTTCAGGTGTAGGTGTGGACATGAAGCCAGGCAGCAAGTTGCAACGAGTGCGAGGATGGATACCCATGATAACTCTTGATTATTTGCTCCATACAAAGTTTAGCTTACTAATACCAACACTTCGCAAGTTCCTAGTTCAAAACGATACAGATTGAGATTAAATAATTAGCCTTCTGCCCATTGTTATGATTACTAAATTCACTTGGTAGGACATAGGTTCTGATTTTTAGGTTTCTGTTGTTATCTAAAAAGAAAAGAAAAAAGTACAAGATCTTTTTAGATTACAATACTGTATGACCCAGATGCTTTAAAGAATATTTCACTGGAATCTATATCTAGAAAAGAGAGCTAAGAGGGGAAAGAGGGAAGGAAAAATTTATTTGAGGACCATCATCACTAATGGCCTCAATGGGGACTGGAAGTCAGCAAGCTGTTAGAGATCCTCCATTATTTTTAATGATTCTTATACCTGAATTTTGAACTGGAGTCTTGGCATTGCAATTTTGGTGGATTGGCAATTCCATGTGTTCATTACCCTATAGATGAAAAAGCATCTCCTGTTTTCTGTCCTGTATTTGGCTTCTTGAACATGAAGCTACTACCCTTTGTATGTATTTACATTTGTTCCATAAATCAAAACTCTTTACCTTCAAACCGATGTTTAACCAAGTCTTTGAAATACTGTACCATATTCACGAACATTGCAGACTCGTAGTGGGCTGTGTGTTCCTGATTGCAGCAGAGATGGTGCCATCAGGCTGGACCGAACCTCTTGCAAGCACTACTTCGTGTGCAGCCTCCAGCACCAGCACCTGGTCCTCCTCCGCTGTACTTGTCCACCCCACGCCCCAGTCTTCAACAGGTACCGCCAGAAGTGCTCCAAGAAAGCTCGATGTCGGATCTCCTGTTCATCCCATGACCTTTTGTTTGCCACTTGGGACCCTGTCATTTATGAGGGTCTCCAGTGCCAGGCTGCTCCCCTTCATCACCATATACCTGCAACCACAACTGTCACCATACTTGGAACCATACCTACTGCATACCTACCTGCAACAACAACTGCCACTACACCTGCAACCATACCTACTGTATACCTACCTGCAACAACTGCCACTACACCTGCAACCATACCTACTGTATACCTACCTGCAACAACTGCCACTACACCTGCAACCATACCTACTGTATACCTACCTGCAACAACTGCCACTACACCTGCAACCATACCTACTGCACATGTAACAACTGCCACTACACCTGCACCCATACCTACTGCATACCTACCTGCAACAACAACTGCCACTACACCTGCACCCATACCTACTACATACCTACCTGCAACAACTGCCACTACACCTGCAACCATACCTACTGCACATGTAACAACTGCCACTACACCTGCAACCATACCTATTGCATATATAACAACTGCCACTACACCTGCAACCATATCTACTGCACATGTAACAACTCCCACTACACCTGCAACCATACCTACTGCACATGTAACAACTCCCACTACACCTGCAACAACACTCTGCCACTACACCTGCAACCACACAAATCACCACACCTGCTACTGCATCTATAACCACACCTGCAACCACACAAGTCATCACACCTGCTACTGCATTTATAACCACACCTGCCACTACACTTGTAACCATACCTACTGCACCTGTAACAACGGCAACCACACCCGCAACCACACACGTCAACCCACCTGCTACTGCATCTATAATCACGCCTGCTACTACACTTGCAACTATACCCATCACATCTGCAATAACACCTACAACTACACCCGTCACTGCACCAAGCACTATACCTGTCTCACATGCCACACCCAGTACAATTGCCACGCTTCCCAACCCAACCACCGCCACAACTACCACATCAGATCCCACCATCATCACCTCAACTACCATCTTTGACACATCCATCATTACTAATACTGCCACCAGTTCCATTGCTGCAGCCAGTACCACCACTCCCAATTCTGACACCACCCCTAGTCCAACCACCACCACAATCACTGCTACCACCTCTATTAGTAGTATTAACACTAATGTCACAGTTTCAAGTAATGCTCTCTCAAGCACAACAACATCTGCTGTTGTTCCCCCATTTCTGGATACAGCAACAACCACCATTACCACATTGTCCCCAGCTGCCATAACTACTCACTCACCAGTCACTGCTACTATTAGTGTACCATTTTCTGTTATCCTGCCTGCCACAGTCACTACCTCTCCTGAAGCTGTAGCATCACCAACTCTCACTTTGCCCCTAAATGCCATATTTGATTTGATTCCACCATTTCCTGCAACTTTCACTAATATTGACAAAACTTGGTTTACCTTACCGTCTACCATTACCACACTATCCATAGCCACCACCATAGAATTTGCATCTACCATCACACCAACCACCATACCCGAAACAGTGTCTACCACATCCACCATCGCCACTAAGCCACCATTAACATCTACGGCCAGCACTATACCAGAAACTGTGCTTACCATCAGCATATTATCACCAGCCTCCGCAACTCCTGTGTCAGTGTCAGGTTCCTTGGACTGCAACGCCATACAGTGCATGTCCATCAACTCTCGGGTACAGGACAAATACAACTGCAGCAGGTACTACAAGTGTGTCCTGCAGGAGGGTCGCCTTGTGCCCCGTCCCTACATCTGCCCAAATGTTCTGCCAGTATTCAGCCACTTCCTTCAGCTCTGCCTCACAGGAATCAAGTGTCGTGCCCCGTGTCCCACAACCACAGCTGAGGCAGCAGATGTTGTAGAAGTTTTGGCCGGAGATGTTGGCAATATTACAATACCTCAGGAAATATCTGTTTCTCCACTGTTGACAAATTTCAACACAAATTTTACTATGACATCTGAGCTGTTTGCAGACACAACAGCATCACCTGAAATGGCTACTGGCTTGATACTAATGCCAACAGATACTGCTGATGAGGTCATAACATCATCCAAAAATGTCACAAATATAACAGAATTATTTGAAACATCTACATTATTTCCAATATCATCGGAAAAACCTGTAACCATCCCAGTACCAACTGATACACCTACTGTAACTCCCTCATCAACTAATGCATCAAATGTACCAATAACTGACATATCTGCTGTAGGTCCAACATCATCTGATACAACTTCATTTGTCTCAACATTACCAACCACATCTGAAATCATCTTAACAGCCAGTACAAGTGAAACATCATCTGGATTATTTATTATACCTGTTATAACAGCAGCAACATTAACAGATGATGTAATACTGTTTGAGACAAGCACAAGTGCTACATCTGCTGACACAGTTTCAGCAATATATGAGACAACGACTGGAGTTCCAATATCAACCAATATGACAGAGGCAGGATTAGGTGCACCAACCAACACAACACAGTCTCGACCTCATGTATCAGAAGAGGCAACAGCATTCCCCGGAATGCCGGAAGTGGTCCAAGTCACTGCAACACCTGGATGGGAGGGAACATGTGAATTATCATGTCCAGCACCAGACATGAAGGTAGGAGATCCTCGTGATTGCCATTACTTCTTTATATGTAGATTCACTGACAACTTGACGCTGAAACCCATCAGGGTTAAGTGCCCACTCAGACGACCTATGTTCAAAGCTGGCACAGGTGAATGTGTAGAGAGGTTCCCTTGTTTGGCGAAGTGCCCTGCTTCTACCAATCTCATCTTCTTGCCACCTCCACAACCCACCTCCTCTTCCCCACTCGTCACATTCTCTAACTCGACACCGGCCACATACACCTCCCTCTCCCCATATCCTACCAACTTTGACATAATTACTAATACAATAGACACTCCTTCATCTAATGGGACATTTACAATAGGTGCCACTACTTCACCCTCAACCATCACAACAAATCTTCCTGCTGACTGCAATCCTACATGTCTAGTTGCTGACTCCTGGTTGGCAGACCCAACAGATTGTCATTTCTTTTATGTCTGCCACTTTATCAATGATGTCATAGCCAGACCTCGCCGAATTAGATGTCCAACTAATCGACCAATTTTCAACCAGGAGCTTGGAAGATGCACTGCTGAAGGTCGTTGTATCACCTCTTGTAAAAATTTAACGAGCACAAGCGAGATGAACATGTCTCTAGCAGAACTTGATGCACCTAACTGTCATCCCACTTGTGTCCTCCCTAATTCTCGCATGTCAGACCCTACAGACTGCTACTACTATTACATCTGTGTCATCCTTGACAGCCTATCCCCGAGGGCTGTCCGCACCAAGTGCCCACAGTCAAAGCCATTTTTTGACAGTAGGAGAAAAGTTTGTGTGGCAGAAGCCGAGTGCATTATAACTTGCAGCCAATTGAATTCAACAACCACCTTTACAACAGCACCTTCACTTGCAGATGATGTCTGTAACCCTGTGTGTCTTAAGCCAGAGACTGTAGTGGCTGACCCACGTGACTGTAACCATTATTATATCTGTTCAGCCACTGATGGCATAATAATCAGTCCCACCAGGATGCGGTGCCCATCACATCTCCCTGTCTTTGACCACAGCACGAGTAGCTGCAACAGGAATGCCAAATGTGTGGTGACTTGCCAGTCAAACACCACCGCCACCACCACAACCCCAGCCTCTACCACATTATCTTTATCTAACATCTTAAGCAACAACACAATGGTCACCAGCACTCCTGTCAATGATGTCAGCAGCACTGTGGGTCAGGGGCACAGGCCAAAGCAGTGTCGGCCCAACTGCACTTCACACAACACAATTCATCATGATCCACTTGACTGTCATTACTACTATGTGTGTATGATAGGAAGGGGCAAATCGTATCTCACCAGGATCCAGTGTCCACCCAGAAGACCCATCTTCCATCTGCCCACCTACAGCTGCCAGAGAGCTGTGCCTTGCATCACCACTTGTAAAGATATAGTTGTTCCACCATCATATGCTACAGTCACCAGCTCCACTGTGGAAGTAACCAGCTCCACCACATGGAACATCAGCTCCTCCATAGGACCTACCAGCCTCACCTCAGAGGCCATCAGCTCCTCCACTGGAGCTGGCATCTCTACCACATGGAATGCCAGCTCCTCTACATGGAATGTCAGCTCCTCTACAGGACATACCAGCCCCACCACTGGAGTCACCAGCCCCACCACATGGAATGTCAGCTCCTCTACAGGACATACCAGCCCCACCACATGGAATGTCAGCTCCTCTACAGGACACACCAGCCCCACCACAGGAGTCACCAGCCCCACCACATGGAATGTCAGCTCCTCTACAGGACATACCAGCCCCACCACTGGAGTCACCAGCCCCACCACATGGAATGTCAGCTCCCCTACAGGACATACCAGCCCCACCACATGGAATGTCAGCTCCTCTACAGGACATACCAGCCCCATCACATGGAATGTCAGCTCCTCTACAGGACATACTAGCCCCATCACTGAAGTCACCAGCCCCATCACATGGAATGTCAGCTCCTCTACAGGACATACTAGCCCCATCACTGAAGTCACCAGCCCCACCACATGGAACATCAGCTCCTCCACTGGAGATGCCAGTCCCACCACAGAAGTCACCAGCTCTACCACATGGGATGTCAGTTCCTCCACTGGAGACACCACCTCCACTGCAGAAGATACCAGCTCCACCTCAAATATCAACTCCATCATATCCACCACAGAAGTGAGCTCTAGCACCATCACAGGAGATGCTAATTTCATCACAACCAATACAGGAGATATCATCTCTACCTCACCTACCACAGTAGATATTAGCTTCACTACAACAGCCACAGAAAACATCACCACCAACGGGGAAGGGGAAAACAACACTGGTGGTGTTGTGAGGTGTGATCCTGTGTGTCCCAAGGCAGGTGTCCTGGTGGCAGACCTCAGCAATTGCCACAGATATTTCGTGTGTGTCTACGTTGACAGTTTGGCTCCCCGCCCCATACGTGCCACTTGCCCAACACTCACACCTGTCTTTGATGTCACCAAGCGACGGTGTGTGGCCGATGCCCCGTGCTACCAGCCTTGTGCTCCACATTTGCTGCCTTCAACTCAAGTATCACCTGCTGCCACTGGGTCCACCACATCTGACCTACTTTTACCAGTCAACTCACCTATCTCAGGTGGTTCACTTGGTCCAGGTGGCTCTCCTGAGTCAGGTGCCTCAGGGGAGGTTGGTTGGTGTCCCCACAGTGGGTACTTTGCTAGAAGTGAGGGATGTAGCAGCAGCACCTTCACTCACTGCTACCAAGAGAGTGAAGGTGGTGTGAGTGTGGAGGAGCGGTGTCCCACTGGACTGGTGTTCAATACGGTGTCCACCTATCCTTACTGCGTCCCACCCTCCCAATGCCCGTATGATCCAGCCACAAGCACCACCACAGTCAATGCCACAACATGTCTCCATCCTGGTAGCTTTCCCAAGTGTCGCCATTGCTGCCCACACTTCATTCATTGTGAGCCGTCATCTTCCGGCCGCGGCTACCAGCCCGTAACAAGAAAGTGCCCTGGAGGGTTGGTATTTAACACAGACCCAAGGTACCCTGTGTGTGTACTGCCTCAAGATTGCCCCTCAGGGCAGCCACACACGAGCAAGTGTGAGAAAGAGGGCAACTACCCAGCATGCCCTGGCTGCTGCAGAAACTACTATCACTGCACCAGAGATGGACGCCTCCAGCCCAGGAATTGCTCCTTCTCTCTTGTCTTCAATCCTAACCCAGAATATCCCTTCTGTGTCCTCTCGTGGAACTGCCCCTACCGTCCCGATGGTTCAAGACGAACCTACTCACCCCACCTATTCCAGTCCCCTCCTTGACAATTCCATGCTCTAGCTACACCCCCTCACCATCTCATCCTCCTGTTCCAGTTCTTTTCTTGACCATCCCACTTACTAATGTTCATTCTAGACAGTCTCACTAGTTCCACTTACTTCATTCCTCTGTGATCAACCCATAAGCCACCCTCCCACACTCTGCCTACCTGCTCCAGTTAACTCCACCACCCCTACCCACCTGCTACAATCTCCTCCATCTTACTCCAAAATACATGTTATTTTATACCTAACTATAAATAATTTGAGTTATGTTCATAATGTAATGTTTTGTTGCTTTCATTGCCTTATCAGTTAATTAAGAGATGATGATGTGGTATTACCTTCATGTAGATTATTATTAAATGACAAAATGTCTTTGAGTTTCATTATTATCTTTTCTTAATTAATATTTGTGAGCCAAGACCCACTAATGTGTGTGAACCACAACTGCTTGGCAAACACTTGCCATGAACTCAAACTAATGAGTATTAAACATTCATCACATCACTGAAAATTGTAAGACTGAACAAAATAAACAATTTAAAAGACTAAACACATGCCACTAAGCATTCACAAGACTAAACTCACATACCACAGAACATTTACCACAAGACTGAATAAACCAATCATGTGAACACATCAGAATTGAACAAAGAGCATTCAGTAGGACTATGCCTTAATAATAATCAAGAGGCATAATTATCCAGTGCTGACTGTCAGTGTCATTATAAATATATGTCAATCAGTGCCAGGATTAATGTGTTACTGACCATCACTGCCAGGATTGATGTCTGACAATCAGTGCAAGGATTGATGTTTACCTCTAATAATATATAGCAACTCACTAACTTACCACTTTCTATAATTATTAGTCTAGAAGTAGCTCCTGCAATACGATTCAGCTGGACATTATTGAAACTCTAACAGTTGCGTTGAAGATGCTGGCAAGGGGGAACTAAACCCCTCAACATGCAGCTGTTAACATTATTGCCACCTCAGCTGTATGCAAAAACAAAATTAAACAAAATAATTTTCTTATATAATATAAAATACATGTGCATACAAAAATAAGGAAAAGGTGAAAAATTAAATATTTACATATTTTCTGGCTTTGTGAGGCGAAAACAGTAATTGTGTGGCGGAGTCAATGCATCTGTAGACACCTTATGTGTCAACATGTTGACACAAGGGTACAGAGAAGACTCAGATGTTCAACATCGATGATATTATGTTTCCTGCCTCACTTATTAGTTTAAACAATGTATTTTGTGCTGAATAACTCAATTTATGTATACATAATTCATTAAAACAGTGAGTACAATACTGTACTGAATATAGGCTTATAATGTAATATGTATGTAAACTTGTTCCTGGTACAGCTCAAAGAAGTGTTTTCCTACCCACTACTTTGCTGTGATTCTGTCTGGGTATGTCATCCACAACTGAATTCATACACTGGCAGTAAAGACCAAATCACCATTTGATGATAAACTCAGGTCCCAAGTACATCATAACCTTATCTTCCTCATCTTAAGGTCATCTTGAGATGATTTCGGGGCTTAGCGTCCTCGCGGCCCGGTCCTTGACCAGGCCTCCTTTTTGTTACACACCCCCAGGAAGCAGCCCGTAGCAGCTCTTTAACTCCTAGGTACCTATTTACTGCTAGGTAACAGGTTGTATAGTAAAAATTACAAAACAATAGCAGAATTTTTTCATGGGTCTCGGCTAACTCCATTACATCCACAGATAGGTAAGCCTATAGAAGCATTATTGCAGACAATGGGTCACAATGACATGGCTGAAGATATTGTGACCAAACTACACATCAGAAGATGGAGAAACGTTATCATTTCTCCATCTTTTGATGTGTAGTTTGGTTTTTATAGAAGCATTATAACCATATTTACATCACTGGCATAAAAACTGGACAATAATACAGTAACGAAAATCTGCAAATGACGGTGGCTCAAGCAACCAACAAATGATGATTTCCACATGCTGGAAATCATCTAATATGTGGAAATGCTGTAAGTTGCACATTCTAATTACCTAAGTGGAGTTACAGGATGAGAGCTACGCTCATGGTGTCATATCTTCTCAGCAAAACAGGACTCTTGCCGTCTTGATATACAGTACTCTGAGAGAATACTGAGTTTTGCATGTCCAGCTTATTTCATAGTGTGTTCACTTTTTATAACATTAGTAGTAATGAGGTGTTACCAAGTGCCCAACACCTTTGTTATTACATGAACAGAAATAACCTTCATGAAAATTACTGAACTAGTGGAAATATTATTTCTGAATATTAAAGCTCTTGGTAAATAATACAGCCTTTTGACCTGAGCATGTATACACACACTAGCAGTTCCTAGAATATTTCACTTTCTTCATACTACAGTACTGTACTGTGATACTGACTCTCAGACTCCAACATTAATGCAAGAGTAAATTGTGTAGTTTAGTTAATTTACTATGCACCCTATACCCATCTTGTTGACGGACGTATGAGGCCAAGCATGAGTAAACTGAGAGGATAATTACACTTTACTCATTACTAAATTAATTTATTGACACAGTAAAGTATGGAATAATGTATGAATGATAATATAATATTCATACACCCAAAGTATTCACAGAGGTCTTAACTGTTAATAATTGTTAATATAGTAATTCTGAATTTACTTCACTAGGTGGCAACTACTGTAAATCTCCGAGGTACTGTATATTCTTACATAAAACCTGATAACAAGCATTATTATGTAAATTTGGTACTATAGAGCGTATCTTGAACTAAATATTCTTTTGCAGTCCTACAGTCCTGTTATGAGTGAATATGACTATCAAAGGAGGTGGAGGTGGTTAGGAAGGACTGCTTTATCATAACCTGTGTAATTATCTAAGTGTAATTACAGGATGAGAGCTATGCTCGTGGTGTCCCGTCTTCTCAGCACTCTTTGTCATATAACGCTTTGAAATTGCTGATGGTTTTGGCCTCCGCCACCCTCTAACCTAACTTCTTCCAACTATCTACCACTCTGTTTACAAAAGTGAATTTTCTTATATTTCTCCGGCAGCTTTGTTTCGTTAGTTTAAATCTATGACCTCTTGTTCTTGAAGTTCCAGGTCTCAGGAATTCTTCCCTATCAATTTTATCGATTCCTGTTACTATTTTGTACAGTGATCATATCGACTCTTTTTTCTTCTATCTTCTAGTTTTTGCATATTTAATGCCTCTAACCTCTCCTCGTAGCTCATGTCCTTCAGTTCTGGAAGCCACTTAGTGGCATGTCTTTGCACCTTTTCCAGTTTGTTGATGGGCTTCTTAAGATATGGACACCATACAACTGCTGCATATTCTAGCTTTGGTCTAACAAAAGTCGTGAACAATTCCTTTAGTATTTCTCCATCCATGTATTTAAAAACAATTTTGAAGTTAGAAAGTGTAGTATAGGCTCCTCACACAATGTTGTTAATGTGGTCTTCAGGTGACAGTTTTTTTTATCTAGAATCACCCCTAGATCTCTTTCTTTATCAGAATTCTTTAAAGATTTCTCACATAATTTATAGGTTATGTGGGGTCTATGTTCTCCTATTCCACATTCCGTAACATGGCATTTATTCACATTAAATTCCATTTGCCAATTGATGCTCCATATACTTATTTTGTCCAGGTCTTCTTGGAGGGCATGACAATCATCTAAGTTTCTTATCTTCCCTATTATCTTCGCATCCTCAGCAAACATGTTCATATAATTCTGTATTCCATTTGGTAGATCGTTTATGTAGACAATGAACATCACCGGTGCAAGAACTGAACCCTATGGTACTCCACTTGTGACATTCCTCCAGTCCGATACATTGCCTCTGATTACTGCCTTCTGACCATCAGTGCCAGGATTGATGTGTCCCTGACCATCAGTCCAGGATTGATGTGTCCCTGACCATCAGTCCAGGATTGATGTGTCCCTGACCATCAGTCCAGGACTGATGTATCCCTGACCACCAGTCCAGTACTGATGTATCCTTGACCACCAGTCCAAGACTGATTTATCATTGACCACCAGTCCAGGATTGATGTGTCCCTGACCATCAGTGCCAGGATTGATGTGTCCTTAACCATTAGCCTCCATCCCTACATCTGCTTCAGTCTCCACCTATGTCTGGGGCATACGAAGTGTCCCTTTAGTTTACAGCTCTCTGGGAGATGACAGTAGGACCCAAGACCCGCATTGGCATCAACATTATGACACCACACCCCCTCGAACAAGCCATATAAGGGCTTAAATTGTTGACACAGTAGTGATGACAAGAGGTGCACACTTTTCTCAGGTCTTGGACCCCACCCAGAAAAGAGGCACCTCCACATTTCATTGCACTGTGACTTGGCAAGCTTCAATTAATCTCTCACCTTTTATAGGTCTCATATTATATTTTACAAAATATATGGCTGGATATAGTAATTGAAAAAATTAGTTATGAATGCAAATGCTTTATTTTCCTTTTACCAAAATTATTCATTATATTTACAGTTGATATAGGATGTCTGAAAAAATCATTCGAGGGGAAAAATATGCTATTTTATATTATGTACATAAAACTTTCACAGGATAATATATATAATATAAATGTAATATTCAAATTTTGTAGAATTTGAATACAGTAATATATGTGAAATTTTGTAATCTGCAATTTTCTAAAACTGTAAAAAACTAATATAAAATATATTTTCAATAATCAATTCATAAATGCTCTAAACTACAATTTACAATGCATTTATAAAACAAAATTCTGTACTGTATATCACAAGTCAGTCTCTATAGTTCAATTCTAATCCTGTTGTACCACATTACACACCATTACCTCTCCTTCATAAACATATACAACAAGTAAAAAAATACTATCTGCAAACACGTTCAAACATATATGGTTTGAACCTTCCATGTTATATTAGGGGCATAGATATCATAGGCACAAGCAGTAAAGCTGTATCAGAGGTGGGGCTTTCACCTAATGAAGTGTATTGGTGCACAATAGGGGAAAGAGGGGCCCATCCCCCATCTAGAGGTAAGAAACGGTGGTACATTTATTTATGAATGGGATTAGTGTCATATTTACATGTGCAAGTCAGAAGAGATGATGAGCTCACTTAAATTATCAACATCATGGCCCATCCTTGCCTGGCTATATAAGTACAGTGGCACCTCGATTAACGAGTTTAATCCGTCCCAGCACCGAGCTCATCATGTGGGAAAACTCTTCTTGCGAAAAAACAACAAAACTGTTGTAAAAGGTGTCTGAGAACCAGCAGAAATGCTCGTTAATCGAGGAAAACCTTGTTAGTAGAGACAACTGTTCTGCGAGTGGCTCGCTCATTACTTGAAATGCGTGTAGATAGAGCTGCTCATTAATCGAGGTGCCACTGTATAAACAAATTAATTATAGTAACAAGACTCATGTGGCTATACCAGATGTCATGTAGCTAAGTATTGCTCGGTCATTCAATGACCCATAGAAATTCTAAGTGAGACCTGGCATCGACTATGATTATAAAAAAATATGCTGCATTATCATAGTCTCTTCTACACTAAGCTTTGATTTCTCTTTTTGTTCCAAAAAGAGTTTAATGCTTTCGTGGACTTCTACGAACAACAACCTTTTCTAATACTTTATCTGAACTGTTCTGTGAAATTTTTGATGAATTATACGCAACTTTTTGTGAAGGACCTAATTTATTATTGGAACTATTTTCTGTTACTATGACAACATTTTGTGCAGCTGAACTTGAAAATCCCAAATGCAATTGCCTTTTGGCTCGACGGATCTTGACCGGAACTGCTAATGTGTCAGTTATAGACCACATGTCTTTTGCTTTCACCGAGGAACCTGATGCAACGGCTGGACTTGAGTACTTGTCTTGACTCTTATTAATGTTTTCTTCACTCTCGTCCACATTTGAAACCTTGTGATACACTTCTGGTGATAAGATTCTCATTTTCTTTACAGGTGTATTTTCTCTCTCTGTAATGCAACTCTCTGATGATAACTGTCGCTTCTGGGAAAAGGTCTCTTTGTCTTTACTGGAATTGGATGATATAATTGGACTTGCCCTTCTTGATGAGCTTGTATCTTTTGATGCATTGAAATTGGCTTTCCTTGTGAAAGTTTTTGGAGACCTTGTAGCTTCCATATCATTATGTATAACTGAGATAACATTATGAACATTGATACACGACAACTTACTTTCTTGAGTAGTGCTTGCTGTAATATTTGCTGTTCTTCTACGTCTACGATGAACAACAGTTTGTATTATTGAATTAGAATTGCTTGAAGATGGCGGCAATGTATTTTGGATTGAATTAACAATTTGGCTGGATGATTTATTGACTGTAGTATCTGTGACATTAATTGGATCTTTCTTAGTTTCCAGCAAATGACTTTGAGCAGGAGCTGATTGAATAATGTTTTTATCTGCATTTCTGGAGACTGGGGAATTAAACTGTATGTTGCTCTCAAATTCCATCCCAATATCATTTAACTCGAAACATCCAGACATTTTCTTTGCAATGGAAGGTCTACTTTGGCTAATTCCAAAGTTATCTACATCCTCAGTGTTCACAACTGAAACAGACAGAGGTTTAGTTTTTTTTCCAACTGCCTTAGTCAAGTCAGAGTTCAGCAAACCATCTAGCATCTTTTTTGTTTTTTTGATTGCATCATTGTGTGAGCCTTTAAGAGTTCTTTTAGAAGGTGACTCAATAGGAGTACTTTTGAACGATGGGGATTGATATACTATTTTCTTGCACGGCGACTTGTGTGGAGTTTTCCTGCACGGTGACTTGTGTGGAGTTTTCCTGCACGGTGACTTGTGTGGGTTTTTTTTGCATGGAGTTTTTCTACATGGCGACTTATGTGAAGTTTTCTTGCATGGCGACTTGTGTGGAGTTTTCTTGCATGGCGACTTGTGTGGAGTTTTCCTGCATGGTGATTTGCGAGTCTTAAGGGGGGATTTTTTGGGAGTCTTTAGCAAAGACTGCGGCAACTTTGGTCCACTAGTATCTCTAACAGGCAGCTCATCAGAAATTATATTTGGCAATGGATCATTCAAAGGAAAGTCCACTGTGCTTATGGTTTCATCACATTTTTCCACTAAGTCTGGTGTTGAGGCTTCTTTATTATTTAGCATTTCTTGGTTCATGTCAGTATCTATATCGGAAATATCCGTGATATCAACTACTGAATTAGTGTCAGAGCTTGAGCTTGAGCTACTGCTGCTGCTACTACTGCTACTGCTGCTACTACCACATTTGCTACACTGACAATCACTGTCAGAATCAGAGTTACTGGAGCTGCTAGAGGAGTTGCCATCACTGGGCCTTGAAGTCTCTGCATGCTGTTCAAGATGGTTCACCTCTTCAGCAGTACTGGGTGAGGATGCTGCACCAGAATCTTGCATGACACCTACTTTCACATTTGCAATGTTAGATTCAAATGTGTCAGTCCGGATGTCATCAGAATGTTGACTAACATTACTGACAGTCGTTTGATTAGGACTGTATAAAAGAAAATCTGTATCATTATTTTCAACTTTACCACTACTATGATTGCCAAGATCTTTTTCTTCCATATTATCATTACTGGAAATCTCCTCCCTGGAACCATCACACTTGCTGGCAGCCAGCAAACTATCTGTGAATACCAAATGCGATGATTTAGAGAACTCATCTTTTCCACCAGAGACTTGAGGTACTGTATTATCAGAACTTGCAATAGGATTACTTCCAGAATCACTTAATGCCAAATCACTCTCAACTATTATGGCAGACGCATCATAAATTTCTCTCCTATTGCAAGTAGCATTATCCTTCTCAGACAGCCGTATTTTTGACAACTGGGCCTTTGATCTTGTAGTGATAGATTTATTGGAAACATCTACAGTCTTCTTAGGTAAAACTTTAGTCTTTGGTGTATCATTTATTTCAGTATTCTTTTCTTGGCTACAGAAATCAAGGTTATCAAAATTATTTTCTACATTTTCATTTGCTTCAAAAATATTATCTATACTTTCATCTTTTTCATTATCCTCCATGTTAGTTTCTGACTCTTCAGAAATAAATTGTAGGAGAGACATTTCAGAGTCATTACTTGAATTATCATTGTCAGAGGCATATTTTTCATTGTGTCGTTGTACAATCATATCAATTGTGTCATCACTCCCTGATGCTGAAGTTGTTTGGTAAGTACTAGTTTGGAGTGGGACAACCTGGAAAAGATCAGCTGGGTAGAATGTAGCATCTTCGATGACACTTCTAGCATCATACGATTTTCTTTTTTGAAGTTGTTTTTTCATAACTTCTGTGGAGTTTGCCATATGTTTTATTTTACTTTCAACTTTTCCAAAGACCTTATTAAGCACTCCGTCACTATTATTGCACTTTGTTTTACCAGACATGGTTTCTTGTTTTCTTAAATTATCCTCCTTAAATTTAGCTAACCTCCTAGATGACCTAATTTGCTTCACTTCAGATATGTGCCCATCATTTTCCTTGTGCAAGTCTTCTTGATACTTAGGTTCAATATCCTCTGCTTTACTAGTGTTACATTTATTCTCTGGCTTGTGAACTTTGAGCTTCTCCACTATCGCTATCTGCTGTTTGAGTTCCACCTCATTATTCAAAACACAAATATTTGCATGACCTTTAACTGATTTCTTGACTTTTGAAATTGGAGTTGCTGCTGCTTTTTCTTCACATTCCTCATCATCCAATTCACCATCCTCTTTTTCATCATCATCATCATCCACAGAGCATTTTGAAGGAGATCGAGACAATATTCTCTGCAATAATTTAGTATCAACAGGTATTTTAGTAGAACTTCCTTTCACTATGTCTTTATCCTCCAAGGTTTCCTTACTATGGTACTTTTCACCTAACTCATCTCCCTCACTTAAGCCTCTCCTCCTCCTCCTCCTCTCATTATATGTTTCTTTTTCTTGCATACTGTTGATAGAATTGTCTCTCTGTCTTATATCAGCAGATTGAATTCTTTGTCTGGAGCTTGCTCTCATACTACTCTCTTGCTCTGGTGAAGATGTACAAAACCTTGACCTTACAGAATCTTTATTTTGATCATAACTGTTAGATGGCCTTGTCAAGCGACTCTTTATTGACACTCTTTGCCTCTTATTTGGCATTTCATCTGAACTTTCCTGCCATTTCCTCTTGTGAATGTCTCTCTCATCCTTGCTCTGAGGTGAACAGCCTTTTTGGTCCCTATATGTTGTTTGTTCCAACAGTCCTTCGCCTTTTCTTGATTGATATCTATCTTCTTTCGTTGTTTGCTGGCTAACACTATGCTTGTGAAGTGATTCAAGGGGTTTTTCACTTCTTAAGGAGATTGTAGCTTCTTGCTCATGGAGGCTGCTCCTGTCAGCATTGTCAGTCCTTTCTCGTTGTAGTTGAGAAGTTCTGCTTTTGACAGGGCTTCCTTTAACTCTCTTTCTTGAAACTTCTTGTATAAAATTCTTCTGAGTCAGTAATTTATTTTCTCTACACATCAAAGGACTGATACCTTCCCCTAGATTATTCTTTTTGTCAAAACTCTGGCTTATTTTTCTAAGTCTACCACCTAGTTTTCCAGAATGGCATTCCTTTTGAGGAGAGCTGTTTCTCAAGCGACCCCTTTTGTCACTTATTTCATTGCATGTGGGTGACGGACTACATCTCTCTTCACACTTTTTGTTTATTTCTCTTACGTCTAAATTTTCTTCTTCGTGTCTTGGTGAATTGCTTTTCTGTCTATTTTGAAGTACATTTTCTTTGTAATCATTATCTTTATCTCTTCTTGGCAATATTCTCACAGGAGAGGTACTCTTTTTTTCATAACTCTCTCCTTTGCTTTTAAAGCACAATCTCTCGTGAACACTTTTTCGCTTTCCATCATCCTTACTTAGCTGTTCACTAATGCCCAGAGTTAATAATTTTTCCTCCTTTTCCTGTTTGCTATGTAAATTATCACTGCCTAATCTTCTCTCTGCTCTTTCATCGTGTACATTTATGTTGTGATAAGTTAAAGCTTCAATATACTCACTGTTCCTGCTAAGTATGTCACCTTCCTTCTCTGATACACCAACATGTTGCTTATTTTGTATCAGAGTAATGTCATGAGAAGGTTCATCATCCTCACTTTCATCAGTTCCCTCATCATACAAAAGCTCCTCTTCCTGTGGAAAAAGACTATCTTCACATTTGTCATCAAGAATGACATCTGCAATGTTCTCTCCAAGTTCATGGCAAAATACTTCATTTTCCTTGTTCTTGCTGTTTATGCCACTCTCTACTTGAGAATCTCCTATGTCATCACTGCACTTTTTGTTTTCTAATGCTTCATCAACTTTTTGACTCTGAGGTGATTCACTTTCAGAACTAACAGATTTGTTATCAGCACAATCTTTGACATTCATGAAATATTTATCACTGGGTAAATCACCATAAGCTTTTGCAGTATGACTATGTGCTCCTTTTGACACATTCTCAGACGCAGTGTAAGCTTTCCTTCTTCTTTCACGCCCCAAAGATTCTCCGTCACTTCCTTCCTTCGGTGTACTTGATATGGCAGGTACCATTTTTCTTAGTTTCTGGACACTAACACCATCTTCTCCAAGTTCTTCACTCTCTGCTGCTGCAACTTCATTCTTCCTCTCAAATTCTTCACTATTCAGTGAAAAAGTCTCATTATCCCACTCAGGTGCTTCAATCTCTAAGGCATCATCATCATACATACTGTTTTCTGACACATTATGTGTATGTCTTTCAATACTGGGTGTGCGTTCTGTACTAGTTTGTGCATGTTCTTCACTTGCATGAGCATGTTCTTCACTGGCAATTGCATGTTCTTCCCTTACGTGTTCATCTTCTTCACTTGTATTCAAGTATTCTTTACTTGCATGCAAATGTTCTACACTTTCATGAAAATGTTCTACACTTGCATGCAAATGATCTTCACTTGCATGTGAATGTTCTTCACTTACATGGGAATGTTCATTAATTGCTTGTGAATGTTTTTCACTTGCATGCAAATGTTCTTTGCTTGCATGCACATTTTTGTCACTTTCTCGTGGATGTTCTTCATCTGAATGTTCTTCACTTTCATCTGAATGTTCTTCACTTTCATGTGCATGATCTTCATCTGAATGTTCTTCATTTTTGTGGGAATGTTCTTCAGTACTGTGGGCATGTTTTTCACTAATATGGGGATGTTCTTCATTACTGTGGGCTTGTTCTTCATTACTGTGGGCATGTTCTTCATTACTGTGGGCATGTTCTTCACTACTATGGGCATGTTCTTCACTAATATGGGGATGTTCTTCATTACTGTGAGCATGGTCTTCATTACTGTGAGCATCATCTTCACTGCTGTGGGCATGTTCTTCCCTACCATGGGCATGTTCTTCCCTATCATGGGCATGTTCTTCACTACTATGGGCATGTTCTTCACTAATGTGGGCCCCTCCTTCTCCAGCTATCTTATGTAATGTCTCATCTACAATATTTTCTCTCACTCTCTCATTTTTAAGAGACTTCAAATATTTGTGTTTGTTTTTCACATTTAAAATCTGTTTTTTCTCATCTGATAGCTCATCTTTTCTGTGTTTTTGTTTTGACATGATAGCTTTTAATCGTCCATCTTTCTTGTCTTTTAGTTCAGAAGAGTCACTGATGTCTGCTTCTTGTCCTTTCTTGGCTACTCTTTCGTCTTTTGACGGAATATCTTTCTTATTAACCTCCTCTATATCCCCAAACTCCTCGTCTTGTAACTCTGCCTTGCTTATTTTTCGATCTCGTGACTTTCCATACCTTTTGTCTGGCTTTTTAGACTTCTCACGCTCTTTTTTTATTTTTAGTTTTATTTTATTTGTTTCTTTCTGACTGAACTCTCTTTCACTTGCATCTTTTACTCTCGACTCAAAATCTTGTCTTTTCTCCTCTTGGGGTGTCACATTATCTGATGAATTCGACAGTATTTGATTATTTCCTTCTCCATTTGGTTTCATTTCTTTTGGTATCTCGTTTGTTTTAATTTCTTCCCATTCTTTTTCTTTTGGCACTTCTGATTTTCTTTGATCTTTTGGATCCATTTCTCTTCCTACTGACTTGTTTGTATTTTCCTTTTCCTTACCCTTTGAATCAATTTCTTTTCTTTTATTCTCCTTTGGCTTTTCTTTTTGTTCTTCCTCCTCTGATATAATTTCTTTTTTCTCTCTCTCCCTTGAATTAGTTTCTTGTCTTCTTGTGCCCTTTGATTTAATTTCTTTCTTTTCACTCTCTCTTAAATTTGTTATGCATCCTTTGTCTTTCGATTTAATTTCTTTTACATCAACACTTGACTCCTTACCTCTCTTTCCTTTCTCTTCTGAACATTTCTTTTTTGCCCTCTCTTTTGATGACTCATCTCTCTCTCCTTGTTTTGCCTCAAAGTCTCTTCTTGGAATGGTATTCAACTTCTGTTCCTCTTCCTCCTCCTCCTCAGACTTCTTTGTTCTTCTACATTTATATTGTGATTTTCCTTTCTTTTTTTCATCTCTTGCATTTCTCCTTTCATCCTTGAGTTCTACTTTGCAAATGCTTTTATCTTTTTCCTTTGTCTCTATGGTATCTAAGTTAGTTTTGTTTTTCATACAGTTTGTATTGTTGTCTGTCTTTGATATTTGTTTACTTCTTGCTTCACAATTTGGCATTTTACCACTACCTTCAGTTTCTGTATTGTTTTCTATAATTAATATTTTGCTGCTGTGTCTGCTTAAACTTTTTCTAACTGTAGTTCCATCTTTATCTTCTGATTCACCTTTGAGTATTTCACCTGATGCACTATGGTCTTTGATGGAACTCAACACTTTGATTTCTTTACAGGGGTGTGACAGCATGTCACTAATTGTTCCATTTACCTCTTTGCCCTTTGCCATTTTTCTTGTTACTTCAGATTCTTTAATGTTAGCAACTTCACTGTCCGGAGTTTCTGTCACATCCGATATAACATGACTCCCTCCAACAAATGACAATTCTGTGTCATTGACACCTTTCACTTTAATTTTCTCAGTGTTTTCATTACCCTCTTTTATGTGATTTTCACCATCATTCTGAGCATTAATGCCCATTTCCACAGTTAGATCTTTGGTACTAATATCTTTAAATTGCATTTTGTTCTTCTCTACACCTGAGCTACCACCTTTCCCTCTCAACGTAATGTGACGGTTATCATGTTGTGATTTAGGCTTATCCAAAACAGGCAGATTAGTCTTGATTTCAGGATTCTTCTGACAGATGTTGACACTTTCCTCATGAACTGGGTTAACATTCTGCAAATCATCATCTATTTCACTTTTGTTTTCTTTTTTTTCAATATTTGAAAGCACAGCTGAGGCTTCCAATTCATTATTTACCTGTGTATTAATATCTGTTAATTTAAATGAAGCAGAAGAATTAGAACTAGAATTACCTGTTGACTGCTCTAAACCTGAACTGATTGGCTGACCTTCAGATTTCATTTGTGGCTTTTTAGAGTTTTTAAATTTTGCTGCCATTCTCTGACCAAAAAGTGATTTTGTCAACATTTCATCATCATCATCATCATCATCATCATCATCTACGCCTCTGGAATTTCCACTTTCCATAAAATTACTTATCGTGCCTACTTTCAAAAATTGGTTTTGCTTATCAGGCACTTCTGGCGACTCTGTGCATGTTGCAGGTTTTGTCCAAGTTGTCTCTTTTGGGGTAATGCCAGAATCTATGTCTGCATGGTTCTTAATAGTATGCGATTTTGTTAAAAGCTTAATATTGACATCTGCTCTATCTTCTCTTGGAACACATGACTGTGAGCTCTCTCCTGCTTTTAAGACACTGCCTGCAACATCACCATCATTCCCTATTAATGATTCTTGTTTGTTGTCTTTAAGTTTACTGTACTGTGCTGTGGCAAATTTACCACCACTCGATAATCCTTGAGAAGTAAACAGGCGTGTGTTATTATCGTTATCTTTCTTACCAAGAATTTTTATTTGATTTCCACTTTGAGCAGCACCTGTGACATCACCTTCAGTGCACCTTCCACTTACATTTAAAGACGGCCTTCTGATTCCTAACCTAGAAAACACGCTTCTTCTCTCCTTTCCATCTTCATTGTGTGTGTTTAACCTGTCATGCAAAATATCATTTGTATTATTTAAAGTTATTTTTAGCCTACCTCCAAGTGTCTTGGTGCTACGTGTCTGTGAACTATCCTTGAAACTTAAAGATGAACTCTGAATTTCCACATTGGCTTCATCTTCTTTCATTGTTGAAAATCTTGCCCTTTTCCTGTTAAATTTCTCAACTGAGAACGTAACCTTTTCACCTTGTTTTCCCATCATGCTCTGGAGGTTGCGAGCATCATCATCTGAGAGTGAGTTAACACGCTGCCCTCTTACACTAAGCTGAATCCACTTGGAAATATTTCCTTTTCTAGAAAATGTTGATTCACCCTTACTGCAAGAACATTCCTTTTCCTCCTTCTGCAGGCTCTGTAACACAGAAGAGATTGAACTTGATTTTTTTAATTTATTTAAAATAATGTGTTACTAAGAAATATTACTGAAGGGCTTTGAACTTGCCTAATTTTTTGTGATTTTTGTCAATTTCATTCAAATTTAAACCGATTTCCATTCTCCAAGTTTTACCATGACCTGCTCAGCCCTAAATATAGTCAGTGTCATGAATCTTGTGATATACCAGATGGCAAATGTTTCTGGAAGGTAATAACACACTGGACAACTGCTAGAATGAAAATCAGTGCATCTGAAAACCGGATGAAACATAATTACTTGTAGTTTGTTCCAGTATTTCAATCGACATATTTGGTTGTAACAGAAAATAATGGAAGTTTTCCAGTAAAATGAGACTGTGCTTTCACTGCACCAGAATTTGATGCCAAAACATGTATAAAAAATACTTTTGTAGTGATTGTAATATTAAAATGTGTACAAAAGGCATTACTGTATATTGTTTGCATTAATCAAACTTTAATAATATTTTTAATAAAATAGCAAATATTGGATGCAAAATAATTACGGTTATCTCTTGAGATGATTTTGGGGCTTTTTAGTGTCCCCGCGGCCCGGTCCTCGACCAGGCCTCCACCCCCAAGAAGCAGCCCGTGACAGCTGACTAACACCCAGGTACCTATTTTACTGCTAGGTAACAGGGGCATAGGGTGAAAGAAACTCTGCCCATTGTTTCTCGCCGGCGCCTGGGATCGAACCCAGGACCACACGATCACAAGTCCCGCGTGCTGTCCGCTCGGCCGACCGGCTCCCTTGTTTCCCTTGTCTCCCTTGTCGGTTGGAGTGAAAGGGGTCTGGCTTAAATATCTACTCAAGCCGAGTCCAATGTCCACAGTTAACCATGCAATTTTGAAAATCTGGACACCACAGATCAGACTAGGTCACACACTGAATTGCAAAGTTAATCGAATATTATTAATTGACAAATGAGATCAATTATGTGGTAAATTGTTCATGTATGTGCTGGGTATGTGTATGTGCTGGGTGCACCTACATATAGCATGGCTGACAGTATTAGCAAGGTCAATATGCGAGTCAGTTTTTCTCATTTGTCAGGATTTAAACTACCAGAAAAAAGGTCAGATTTTTTGCTTGGAGAGAAAAAGGTTATAAATTTAAAGATTGTTTGGGATAAAATAAAGAGCCTTTTAGGACTAGTGAAGATAAATTGTAGACCAGAGACAAGGATATGGTGATGAGGCCTAAGCATAATAGCACTATAAGATATATTTAAAATGACCTTATAATTCTACTTTGCAAAAAAATTATATATCAGAAATGTAATGGATGAGTACAACTTTGTGCACAGAAAAAGGTTTGTTACCAAAGTTACTAATTATCATACTAAAGGCAATAGATTAGTTCCCTGACCAAATCAACAGGAAAGGAGAAGGCTATCTTTGTTAGGGGAAAAATTACATAATAAATTAATCAGTGTTAAAACACTGCAACCATTACAACAGAGCAAAGTAAAATATTAAAATAAAATTCTGTGTGCAGTATTTTCTAAAATACATAGAATTTAAAATTAATGATACTTATATCAGTTCTTCAAATTTGGAAAAGGAGTTTCACCTTAATTTATATTTACTTTTCTTGTAGGATTCCGGAAAAACATCAAACAAATGTGAGTGAATTAAGAAATGTAACAAAAATGGTATAAAACTTAATATTTTAAATGCTGTAAATATTTTTTGACATGTGCTCCAAAATTCTTCTAATCAATGATTTTTTAAATAAATAAGGTTTATCATTATATTAGGTAGTAATAGCCAGAGATGTGTCAAATCATGATAACTATAAGTATTTATGAGGAAACCCTAATTTCCTTAACACGTGAAGTGCAGTTATCGTCACGTGTTAATATTAGTTATTATAGCCAGGTTTTTACAATGTAAATATGGTTATAAACATCTATGTGGATGTAGTGGAGTTAACTAGACACATGAAAAATTTATACAATTTTTAATTGCATACAATCGATGAGGTTATTTCGTGCCAGAAGAAATTACTGTACTGTATTGTCAAATAAAAATTTGGTAATTCTCGCCAGTTTCATTTTACAATATTTCTGGACGACATTACCAGACAATAGCAGCAAAGAGGTGGGTTGCAAGAAACGTTTTGAGCTGTATTTAACAGATCTAAAAGCAAATAGGAATACATATTACATTTTAGGCCTACATACAGTGCTTAACACTACAGTATAGCACTCTACAAACATGACTTGCGCCTGATTTTTTCTCTTGAGTCCGAGCATCGGACATGATATGCGTCTGATAAAAAAATACTTGTATAAAATTCATTTATTATCCGATCGACTTTGGGATAGTTTCAAAATGAGTGCCTTTAGAGTGCACACAATTTGATACCAAAATCAAAGATGTAACACGAAACCTGATGTTAGAACACTTGAAAGATTATAAATACGTTTTTGGTCAAAATTTTAAAATATTTGTTAAAATTCTATTTATTGTGCTATTATTATGGGACTAGTTTTAAAATGCACGCCTTTAGATTGCGAACAATTTGATACCAAAATGAAAGATGTAACACGAAAATTTATGTCAAACACAGGAAAGATATAAATAATTTTGTGATAATGAGCATTTAAAATTAAAATATGTTAAAATTCCAGTTATTGCTCTATTATTATGGGAATAGTTTTAAAATGCGCGCATTTATATTGCGAACAATTTGATACCAAAATGAAAGACGTAACACGAAAATTGATGTTATCAAACTGAACGAGTATACACATTAGGCTGAGGTGTACAAATTGGTGCTCGTTCACAGGTAACTTTAGGCTTTGCTGCAGGGAGTCACGCCAGGCTTTTGGACATTATATGCATATACACCTGCTAGGAATTTAATTGCGAACACAATGATACTAAAACAAACGACGTAGCACGAGAATTAAGGTGAGAAAACTGAAACGAGTAAACAAACGACGTAGCACGAGAATTAAGGTGAGAAAACTGAAACGAGTATACACGTTTCGGTATCGCCTACATGCTCACCCGCACGATCGCCTACATGCCGGATGCATGACCTCTAAGTGGGCGGCGCCCATGCCTGGGATGCAAAAGTGTTAATCACTGTTTTTGTCAATTATGTGTAAATTATTCCACATATGTAAACCAAAGAGAAACAACAAACACACAATCATCACAGCTCCTGCCTTTCTTGGTGTCAGCAAAATTGCATCACATCAGTCCTTGGATCAAATGACCCAACCAGCAATCTCCCAATGTGCACAAAACACAAAAAGGCTGACATTTGTGGGGATTTTTTTTTTTTTTTACATTTCCTTATTTTTTGCATGCAAATGTATTATTTTGTAAGATTTTTTTTTTCATACAAGCAGAGAGGCACCTTTGATTATAGCCACACTAGGGATTAAATTTGTAGTGAAACATGTAATGTGACAAACCGAATTAACCCTGTATGAAAAAATAATGCTTCATAAAGTGTTTCATATGACATAAGAGAACACACATTCACCCCAGCAAGCACATCTAGATGAGTATGTATTCACTCTCACATTCATCCACTGTCTCACTCACTTTCACACTCTCACTTTCTTTTACGTAATTGTCCTTGGGTAAAACCAATTAAAAACTTCAGTACTTTAAAACATACTTGCATGAAAGCAGAAAATTCCTCCTTGTTGTATGCTGCAACACGAGATACAATGAGGTCTAGGTCATCTCTAGGTATCTGGCGCATTGCCCTCCGAAAGATGATTGCTTCTTTCCTAAGGTTAATACAGTACATTATTTATAAATAAATATTCCATAGCCTTAAACAACACTGCATTAAATTTTTATTTTGACCATGAACTAGTGTAAGCCAGCATACGTTCATACCAGAATGATCGATTGACTGATTAAGTAAGTTTCTGAGCTTTAGCCCCTAAGGTCAGTTTTCTTGTCATCGTGTAAGTAAACTGTGGTGTTTGGACAGCACCCCAGTGGCTCTCCGGAAGTTTTAGTTAGCACTGCATCCCAATCAATACACCAGCTTCCTGTGATTATTTTGACGCACTAGGCGCAAGGGTCAATATCTTGCATTCTCTCTATATCGGGGAAGCACATGAGGATCATAGATCAATACAATACCGAGGTGACACGACCAAATACAAAAAAATCCTTAAAACTACAATCAGACAATATTAATCCTTAGGCTGCAGACATCATTAATTGTTGATTCACAGGGTAATTAGGGAGTGTGGGGGAGAAGAGGAGGCTTGGGGGGGGGGGTTATGGGAGGGAGGGAGGGCTTGGGGAATTTTTTTTTTTTTTTGTACATAGGCGGGTATGACCATTTCTCCGTAGCCACTGTCTAAGGGTTAAATGACATAACCTCTCATTTTCTGCACTCTATGGGTGAATTTTACCAAGAAAAATCTTGATTTCATTTCATATAATGGACATCTAGCAGGAAACCTGATATTCATTAGTTTTTTCATCACTAGACTTTTCTACTCCTCAGCTCTTTAACCAAATTTGTTCAAACAGTAGCTTTATGACTTGCCTAAGGGAAAGAACAGTATCATATCATTACATATCAAACTTAAAATATAAATCAACCACAGAAATATGCTTTAACTATACTCAATCATTTTCCACACTCCTCAACTCCTAATGATGCTGTCCTCCAACAAAAATCTATAAACATAAAATTAAATTTCTTTGTACATGTTCACTTACTCTCTCTGTAGTGATCTTATCTCAGTAGTTTTTTGTCGCAGTTGCAATTTGGCCGTTTTCCACAGAGCTGATACGTTGGCGAGCAATGTCGCATTGTCTTTCTCCAGGCCACTGCACCGCTTCTGAGATTCATCCAATTGCTTCTTCAGGGTTTCTTGCTCTAAATTCTGCTTAGCAATTTTTTCAACCAGCTGATAATGAAAAGTAAATTGAGCATGATTCAATTATTCATGATGTTTTCTATACAGTATTATATATGCACACCCATTACCCTAATGATATGAAACATTAAATGAACTACTTAAATTCTGCACAATGTACTAAAAAAAATAAGAAAAAAGTAAAGCATATAGCAAATGGATTTAATTTTTGTTAGTCAGTATTTCTAGAATAAATTACAACAAAATGGGACACAAGTATCATATAACAACTAACCTCATCTCTGTCTCTACCAACAATAAAGTCTTCAAAGAGATCCATTTGAGAACTGATTTTACTCTTTGGTTCACTTTTTCGTCTTGTTTTTTTTGTCTGCTTTAGAGACACATGTTGCTCAACATTATTTTGCTCACTGCTTACATTCATGAAGTCACTAGCACATGATCTACCAAGATGATATTCAACGTTTGTGGAGTGCTCATCATGTGAAAGATATTCTGCAGGTGTGGGGTCTTTTGCACGTATGAGATGTTCTGCAGGTGTGGGGAGTGCAGCCCATGTAGGGTGTTCTGCATGTGTGGGATGTTCAGCATGAAGGGAGTGTACTGCAAGTGGAGGGTGTACTGCAGGTGGGGGGTGTACTGCAGGTGGGGGGTGTACTGCAGGTGGGGGGTGTACTGCAGGTGGGGGGTGTACTGCAGGTGGGGGGTGTACTGCAGGTGGGGGGTATACTGCAGGTGTGGGGTGAACTGCAGTTGGGGGGTGAACTGCAGTTGGGGGGTGAACTGCATGTGATGGGTGTTCTGTATGTATCGGAGGTCCAGTATGTGTAGGGTGTCGAGAATGTGTGGGCACGTGCAGTGAGTCACTGTCATTAACAGAAGAACTTGGCTGGCATACTGTCTTATTCTGATCTGGCAAGATAGTGTCCATAACTACCTTTAATGATTTCTTTAAATCAATCCCTTGCTGGCGGGCAATACAGGTAAGAATGAACTGCACATCTTTGTTGGTTGAAATACCTGGGAAAGAATCTTTCTTTGCACTATTAGGAGGCATACAATTATCATTTTTCATATTTGGTTGAATTTCCTCGCTTGATTGTATTTCTGAAGTGTTTTCATTATTTTCACAAATGCTGTTATTTTCAGACTCTACATTTTCTGTCAATTCATTTTTATTTAGCAAGGTGTTACTAGTTCTTGTGGGTACTGCATCTGCACCACTTTGTGTACAAGTGTGAATATCACTCTTTTTATCTAATTTATTTTCAGGCAAAATTTTACCTTCATTACTTGCACCCGCACAAAGTTTACTGATTTGTTGTTCATGGCTTTTTGACACAGCTAAACACGGCGCCTCACATTCCTTGTTTTCACGAGGAGAGTTTATTGGCATTCCAAGTTCTAAAAATATATCAGCATCATCTACATCATTATTGTCAGACACTTCCAATGGCTTTGTTTTTAACGGGGAAACTTCCAAGTCACCATAAAGATCACTTTCTTCAGAGTCACCATCTGAGCTGCTTGTTTCATGGTCATACTCCTCTTCAGATGTTCCACTTCCAAGATCTTCCATGGTTATATAAGTTACTCAGCACTTGTATCTGTATCAGCACTTAGGTCACCGATATTCTGAAATGAACAAAAGTACCACATGAGAAATTTTGACTGATATAAGTTCTCATATGGTAAAACTTGGCACATAATTCAATATGCAGTGAATCAGGATAAATGGTTAACTACTGCAGATGTGCTTCAATCACAGGAGGGATCAAGAAAGGTATCCACAGGCCAGAAAATTTCAGGCAATAGGTAACATAATAAACATGGCAAAGGAGAGGGGGGGGGGCTGAAATTATTACAGGGTTCTGTAATAAGTACGGTACTGTATATACAAGAAATATAATAAGCTCAGGGAGAATAATAATTTTAAAGTTTAATAAGTACAGCCTGGTGTAATTAGCATACACCAACTCATCATAACTAATGGGCAATTCATCTTTATTATACTGTATCTTTAATCATTATTTATATGTTTGTGTGTGTACACAATAAGATAGTCAAAATTTGTGCCAAATAATTATTTAAAAAAGATCGAGAAATAATATGCATGCCCTGTGATTACCAAGTTAGGTTAGGCTAAGAAGGATAGGTCAAATTTGGTGGGGTTATTTGGTACTTATTTTGAATCATGTACATTTTGTTGTACAAACATAATTATATGGTTATGATAATGATTACATTTCTAGTCAGCATATATACATTTTTGCCTGTCCTACATTGACAGGGTTTCAAGTTGTGTAGCTATATTACATGTGTAGTAAGGTATTGAAAACTGTACCACAGTGTGTGTGACTGTGTCACAATTAAATCACAGTTATCATGCATAAATACATTTTCATTTATGCTTAGAAGTTACAACAGCTTTACAAGTTACACTGTAGCACAGAAATCAGCACATTCATCAATATTAAAATGTCCAGAGTTAAATTCCCCAGGTCAGAACAGAAACATTTGGGCACATTTCCTTTCACCTATGCCTCTGTTCACCTAGAAGTAAATGTGTACCTGGGAGTTAGGCAGCTGTTGCATCCTGGGAAAGGTGAGTAATTTCAAAGGAAGACTGCAATAAGCCCAACAGGCTTCCTATCCTAACAATGAGAAGCCTTATTCAGTAAGTTAATGAATCAGTTTACTTTCTACCACATTTATTTTGGCCATTCATATACAGCAAGGCAAACGTGGAAGGGAAGGGAATTTTCAGGAGAAAGCGCCAAGTCATTACAACTATATAGCACTGGGAAGGAGTCAAGATAAGGATTTGGGATTGGACGGGGGGGGGGGGGGGGGGGGAAGGGTGAAAGAAATGGTTCCCAACCACTTAGATGGTTGGGGATTGAATGACGACCTGCATGAAGAGAGATCGTCGGTCTACCGTCCACCCCAAGTGGTTGAAAGTGTCAGTTGATTATTACTCATCCTACCTTCTATGGACATATTCCAAGTCATTTCAGGAAGCAGACTATATTGGAAAACTGAGCTGTGTTTTCTTAATATTTCAAAAAATATCAGAACAATTAATCCTAACCAAATCTAAAAGGTCTGTAGAAATATTAGATGTAAGCGGTCCGTCTAATTACCGCAAGCTACCACAAGCTACACAAGCTTCACTAAGCTTCCTGGCAATACGTTAGTACTGTAATGAATAAATATGGTATATTTACTCATTACAATGTTGATGCTGAATGTACAACACGAAAAAACATAATTTTAATCTGAAAAAGTATTTTTTTATAAAGAAATTAGACGAAAATAAAGAGCTGGTGACGCCAAATCAAGTCGACGATCCAAGCGTCGGTTACGTTAGGTCAACCTAACCTAACATATCATATTTATTCATTACTAACGTATTGCCAGGAAGCTTTGTGAAGTTTGTGTAGCTTGTGGTAGCTTGCGGTAATTAGACGGACCCGATGTAAGCCTATAGGGCACTACTGTATTAGAATGGAATACCACTGTTAAGGACACTTAGGTTTTAGACTTAAAAGACTCCACAGACTTGTTAACTCCATAACCAAAGTTAAGGCTCAGTGTACGGACACCCAACCAGTACTGATTAAACACAAGCTTGAATTAGGTTATTTTAAACCCTGTTGGCGAGCCGTCTTGTCTACGAGGTGACTTATATCACTAAAACTCTTAAGGCCAGTCCAACCAGAAATTCTGGGTAGATGTGGAAAATAAAAGCTTATTAGTTAATTAGGCCTTAGGTCTTAAAACAACTAACCTTTCATTACAAATATCTACTAATTAAATATAATTACAAGAGATTGTGAGAGTCCTGGAGGTAGAGATGATGATAGTGGAGGACTGGAAGTCCGGACGCACCCAGGTCCATGTTATTGTAAACAAACTCCCGAAGCGGAGCGCGCCAAGTGAGGACAGAGGAAGGTTGGGGAGCGCCGCCACCCCTGAGCCAGGGCCACCCTGGCACCCACTTATGGACCAGGGCCACCCTGGCACCCACTTATGGACCAGGGCCACCCTGGCACCCACTTATGGACTAGGGACCCCTGGCACCCACTCATGGACTAGGGCCACCCTTGCACCCACTCATGCACTAGGGCCACCCTGGCACCCACTCATGGACCAGGGCCACCCTGGCACCCACTTATGGACTAGGGTCACCCTGGCACTCACTTATGGACCAGGGCCACCCTGGCACCCACTTATGGACTAGGGTCACCCTGGCACCCACTTATGGACTAGGGTCACCCTGGCACCCACTTATGGACTAGGGCCACCCTGGCACCCACTTATGGACTAGGGTCACCCTGGCACCCACTCATGGACCAGGGCCACCCTGGCACCCACTTATGGACTAGGGATCCCTGGCACCCACTCATGGACTAGGGCCACCCTGGCACCCACTCATGGACTAGGGCCACCCTGGCACCCACTTATGGACTAGGACCACCCTGGCACCCACTCATGGACTAGGGTCACCCTGGCACCCACTCATGGACCAGGGCCACCCTGGCACCCACTCATGGACTAGGGCCACCCTGGCACCCACTCATGGACCAGGGCTACCCTGGCACACACTTATGGACCAAGGCCACCCTGGCACCCACTTATGGACCAGGGCTACCTGGCACCCACTTATGGACTAGGGACCTCCCTGGCACCCACCCATGGATTCAGGAGCTACCCTGGCTCCCACTTATGGACTAGGGGCCTCCCTGGCACCCACCCATGGATTCAGGGCCGCCAGCCCTCGAACCCCACCCCAGAACTGGGGCCATCATCCTTGGCCTTAATGGGAGAGACAAAATTTTCCCAGTTGAATTATGAACTGGAATTCCGTCTTTGCTTTTGCGGCTTCGTCAGTGTGATTCCATCCATGGCTTATAACCCTACGGGTGAAAAGGCATCGAGACTGTTTTCTGTCCCACATTGTGGCTAGTTTTCGTTAATCACTTTGCTGCCCGAAACGCTGCGCGTACTAGTGGCTTTACAAAAATGTAAATACTGTACTATCCAATGTATTCTCACAAACCCAATGTACCTTCTTGTATATATATAAATAAAATAAAATAAAATAAAATAAAATAACTTTCCCGCTCTCGACGTTCAAAAAAAAGCATACCCTAGATGCTTTAGGCGCTTCGCGCGCCTACGCGGTAAGACCGAAAAAGTGTACACTCTTTTGACTGTCCTGATAATAATTGAAGGCGCACGTATTTAAATTTGGTATCACTGTGTTCGCAATAAAATTGTCTATAAGAACATATCTATAAAATGCCGCCAAACCATAAGGATTATCAACACCAAATAAAAAACTATTCAGATCACTAGCCGAGAGCGCCAAACAGCAACAAAATGTTTCCACTCTCTTACTGGTTGCGAAGCCTACAGTTGTCCTACATCGCTAATTGTGGTATCATTGGAATCGCAATAAAATTCTCTACACGGACATATGCATATAAATATAGATTCAATGTCGTAGCCCACCCAAAACAGTGTGGGAAGTGGCCGAAGTGTTACCCGCGGCGGCATATCGGCGAAACTCGCTTTGAAAAGTGTATATTCAATTCACTGTCCTGACATTATTTGTCGATGTATGTATTTCATTTTTGCACCAATGTGCTCGCAATAGAATGTTCTATAAGAACATATGTATTAAAGGTCACATAAGGATGCGTTCGACCGGCAACATATATAAAAACTACGTCGATTACACTCGTCGTGTCAATAATACAATTGTTTTACCACGATGATTCACTGCCACGCCGTTTTCTTTTATAAGCTGTTCGGCTATTAGAGAAAACGTAAATTTCATAGCAAACATTTGTAAACTATTCCCAAGTTGATCGGATAATAAATGGATTTTATACAAATATTTTTGCTCGTGACTCGCTCGAGGGGCACGCGTGCGGTATGATTAATAATATTGGTGCCAACAACGGTCTGCTGGAAAGCTCCAAAGTGTTAAGCTTGAAGCTGTTGTCCCTTGTATATGTGTTACATTTAACTTTTTAAAGAAGTGGTCTAGACTAATATATTTTAATTTGTTCAGTATTTTAAAAATTTTCAATGAAGTCAGGTCTATAGTGTCTGGTTTGTAGTGTTGTTAGTCTTTTGGTCCTCAATCGATCCTTATATGAGAGTTGACTAAGTTCTGGCATGTTTTTTGTCGTACTCCAAAGCTATTGTTCTTTTTAAGGAGAATTTGTAGTTATTGTTAGTTAAAATGAGTACAGTAAATTTGATAAACAAGTAATTCAAACTAATGAATATGTACTGTTGTTCAAATTTGGATATTGGCTATACAACTATGATGAGATCGACTTTTCATGAAGACTTTTAGGTAGTACAATAAGTACGTACAGTGCTATAGGTGAATGAGTAACACCAGGTGTTTAGATAAATGATTTAATTATACAGTTTACATTACGAGGAGAATAACAATCACGAATATAATAATATGGTGTGAAAATAATTGCAGAACTAAGTCAACTAGACTCGGGGCTATCAGCACCGAGGCATGACAGGCGAATCTCATCGAAACTTAAAATACTGAACAATTTGAAGGATGTTGATTCAGACAACTTCTGTTTGCAGTGTTGTTAGTCCTGAGTCACTGTTTCTGGCATGAGAGTCGACTTAGTTCTGGAATTACATTTGTCGCCTAGAGTTGAACTTTCACCAAAGCAGATGCCTTTCTGAAGATGAGGTCTCCATGCCTGGATGCAATAATCCAAGTGGGGCTGGAGAGGATTTGAGTTCTTCTATTCCCCGAGCTTGGCCTAGGGCCAGCGCACCGGAGTTGTACAGTTGAATAACTTCCTCATTTTCCTTGAAGCCAAAGATTCGTTTGACTATTTTTAGGGTTTGGTTCGCTTTGTTTTTTTTTTACTTCAGCTCCCACTTATTGTACAACTTTCAATGATTGTTGGATTCTTACTCCAATTAGATTCCTTTCTTCCTCGATCTATTGCAAGGTTTAACGGCGTTGATTTGTTAATCATCACCATCACTACACCCATAATTATCACTATACATCCATTATCATCACTATTTATATACAAGAATATATATTTATATACAAGAAGGTATGAAAGCATACATACATTAGTGATTAAGTGAAACTTTTTTGCAAAGCCACTTAAACGCATAGCGTTTCGGGCAGGTTCTTTAGCTAACAAATAAATGTAAGGATAGGTAATAAATAATTTGTGCAGAACTGACAGTAATCCTGCCCTTAAGCGGGACCAATCATCATGGTAGGAGCCCCCCATTGCATTGTTTTGTCCTGGGCCTACTATGCTGTCAACCATCACTATTTACAGAGTTTCCTGCTTTAACTGCAGCTCCGGTTTCTTGTCCCTGCTGGTCTACTGATCCATCTGTGAAGTATGTGAAGCTGTCGGATGCCATGTTTGCTTCTATATGCATCTGTGCAATGTTACGTAGCAGATGAGGATTTGTCTGGTTCTTCTTTCCTTCAAGAGCCATAATCTTAAAGTCTGCTGGCGGAGATTCCCAAGGGGCTTGCATAACAAAGTCTGCATGTATTTCGTCGACACCCCTCTCAGTGACTGTGTTATATCGAATGTATTGATGGTGTTTATCGCACAATGGGTCCACCTGTTGCTATTGGAGGCTTTTCTGTCCAGAGTTAGTGCTCCAGTGATTATATCTTTAAGTGAACCATCACTATCCCTACATTCATCATTATCATCAGCACCATTATCATTACCATCATTATCCCTACATTCATCATTACCATCACTATCATCATTTATCGTCATTACTATTTCCTTTTCTTCAAATTTTCAAATCTTTTAGACAAGTCATCAAAATCTATGTCTTCGCGAGTGTTTGTGTTGTTGGGAGAATTTTTGGGAGTGGCAGGCGGGAGGAGATCGTCTGGCAACTCTGGCAGGTCTGGCAACCGGTACTCATCTTGCTCCCCTACCTGTTACATTTGACAGGTGATGTTTTATATATATATATATATATATATATATATATATATATATATATATATATATATATATATATATATATATGCACAACTTGCCTAAACACGCAAGTGAAGTTATACAACTTTAGAACACTTTCCCACCAGGAGACTCGAACCCTAGCCAGCACAGAAGCCTTCCAGCAACTGGCACAACTGTTAAAGGCGTACCTGTTATGTCAGTTGCTGGAAGGCTTCTGTGCTGGCTAGGGTTCGAGTCTCCTGGTGGGAAAGTGTTCTAAAGTTGTATGTGTATATATATATATATATATATATATATATATATATATATATATATATATATATATATATATATATATATATATATATATTAAAGCATACAGTTGTTTCAATATTAAGAATAGTACAAGATGATGAAATGAAAGATCGTTAGCAAAACTATATAATTGACTGGGGATTTATTTTATATCATAAACAGACAGCTATAATTCAGATTAATGACAGACAAAATCAAGAATTCCATTTGATGGATAATGACGATTGATACAGTTGAAAGTTCAACTCACACTAGGGCTGCCAGAGGTAATATGGGGCAGGTTTAAGAGGTCCTCTTGCTGGGTGTGGGCGTCATGGAGTGGGGCGTTGGGAGCCATGTTGTAGGGAGTGGTGGAGTAGGCTGGTGGGGGAGGAATGCTCATACCATTCTCCCATTGGTTACTCCCACTAACACGCTATACAAAGGAAGGTAAACACACGAAGTAAACAATAAACAAGCCTAATTTTATAATACTTTTAAAACACATTAATAACAAATATTTGTTCTAATATACTCCAACAAATGGTCATATAGCTGCGTTCCTCTACTCCCTATATTTCTAGGATTCTATATATTTCGATGCCTGCTGGAAGGGTATTATATAGCTGTGGACCTCTGATGTTCATATAGTGTTCTCTGTGCCTGTGGCACCTCTATTCTTCACTGGCTCTATTCTGCATTTCCAACCATATCGTTCGCTCCAATATGTTTTTGTTTTACTGGGTTTGGCAAGCCATCAGCTTCCTGTCCCCGTCGAAGCCACTAGATGGCAAGTGACCCTCAGGTAAATTCAGGGAAATCTTATTAAAATATGTTTCTATAGCTGTTGAAAATTGTCATTTTATAATTAAAATGTATTGGTAGATAAAGGAAAATTGTTAAAGACTCAAATTTAATATATATATATATATATATATATATATATATATATATATATATATATATATATATATATATATATATATATATATATATATATATTAAAGTTCTCTCTAAAAATAAGGGATGCTACCATTTATCAGGCCTTCTGCAATCAGTACGCCCTTGTATTACCGGTTACTGATGGCATGTTAAAAGCAACCATAGAGTGCCATACAACCATACCTTACCTGTATACTGCTATACATCATGTCCAATTTTGGGTCGACGTAGGCATCATGTGGTCGTGGATCATCGTAGCCAGGGCACCTGTAGTGGCCCTGATGTGCCCCAGGACAGACATGGTGGCCCTGATGTGCCTCTGGACAACAAAAGTGATGCCGATGTGCTCCTGGGCAGCCATCGTGGCCCTGAGTGGCCCCTAGCCAGCCAGACTTCTCTGATGCTCCCTTTCGGGTCACCGCTGTTCCCCCCACACAACCCTGTATATTGAAGGGAGGGGAGTTGTGACAACATTGATTAATGTGGAGGTTTGTTACTAAGATTTGTAAGACATTGTGTGTGTATTTACTATCTGTGCCTGCAGAATCCAGTTATTAGCTCTTTGACCCCGCCTTTCTAAGCAATTTATTTTTCCTCTGTTATGTCTACTAACTATATTCCTAACACACACAGTGAGACCGTCCTCACCCAGTCATTTGTTTCTGCCTCGGTCGTGTGTGTACTCACCTAGTTGTGCTTGCTAGGTGCGTAAGCTCTGGCTCTTTGGTCAAAGAGAGAGAAAGAGAGAGAAAGAGAAAGAGAGAAAGAGAGAAAGAGAGAGAGAGAGAGAGAGAGAGAGAGAGAGAGAGAGAGAGAGAGAGAGAGAGAGAGAGAGAGAGAGAGAGAGAGAGAGAGAGAGAACCCCCCCCCCCCCAAACACACAACATTCCCCAGAATGCCACATACTGACAACCGGCAGTCGAGGCATCAATCCACCAACACATACCTGCGATGCCTCATACACCCAGATCTGGTCTGACTTTCATCTCACCTAAGATAACACCTGACGGATACTGATCATCTTACCTCTAGGGGTCCGTCAGTGTCAAGAAGTGACTCCTCCCTGCTGGACCCCTCTCTCCGCAGTACCTGTGCAAGGCAAATCAAAGCCCAATACAGTTAAATAAAATTACTAATTATTGTCCAAAACTTTATTTTAATTAGTTTTTTTTTTTTAGATATTCGAGCACCCTAAGACTCTGCACAGCCCAGCGTTCTGCTGCAGGAACGCTGGATGAAAACTCATACAGGCATGTAATGTAGTGCAATAACAGTACTGCTATTTGCCCATCACAGACACCACCTGTAGTGTGAACTAGCAATGATTTCCCAATACAAAGTTATGATAATAATAGCTACATATCAATACCTATAACAACACTGACATACCACCAACAGTAGAGACTCCTACTTCCTCGAGGACTCTGTCCTAAGTAACTTTAGAGCCTTGTCAACACCCCTAGAGAAGTTAATTTACGTCGATTAGGAGTCGCTGGTCTGCGTAGTTAATTACTGTCTCCGGACACGAGAACCGGTTTGTTTGGTACAATTTTGTTTTGACTAACCCGTGCACTAAGACTCTGGGACTGCAGCTTCTGTTTATCACTAACAATGACATTTAAATATACTTATGCACGCATCTACCACTTCCTGGCATACTAAACAGCATACAGGAAATACATTCGCTGTATTCCAGTGTTGGACACAAATACGTACATACAGTATATTATTATATCTAGTGCTTCCCCGAGACATCTTAGCTACATTTCCGGGTTCGAATCCCCCGGCGGGACATGTATGGTTGGGTGTATGGTTCCTATCTAATCCCACTGTTCACCTAGCAGTAAATAGATACCCAGGAGTTAATCAGCATGATGTGTGGTTGCATCATTAGGAGGGGTCAGTAATTCGACCCTTGGGTCGATATAAGCCTAGCATGAATATATATATACACTGGCTGCCTGTCCCTGTACTCAATGTATTATTATTATAAGCTGGTGTGTGAGGCTGACCTGTGGATCAGGAACGTAGTTGATGTTGTAGTTCTTAGCGATCTCCAGCAGGTACTCCTCCACCAGCACCTTGGACGGGGCCTGCATACTCAGCCTGCTGATGAGTCGCTTACTCACCTTGTCCACTTTCTGACCCCGACACCCCTGACTCACAAAAGTAATAAACACATACATTAATAAATTTCATTGTCATTATAACCGGAGCATTTTAATGCCGGAAGGTAAACATAATAATAATTACTAGCATAATATGTTACATAATAATTGTAAACAAATATAATTAATGGATCATAATCGGAAACATTTGACAAAGCAAAACCAAATAAATCAACAGACAAATGTCTTATTTTACCAATATATTGACTAACAAACAAATGAAATGAAAATTCAGATAAAATCAAATCCAGTGTCTTTGCTGCCGGACAAATTATATCTAAATAGAAATAACCAGACGCATTCATTGGTAAAATCCTCTAGAGAGGCTGCATCCGTAGATAATTAAAGAGCTGTGAACCAGACATACAACCGATTCAATAGACACCCAAACAACCTATAGACTCCCTCGACGCGTTGACGTAAAGACGAAGGTCAAATGACGCAGCATCCGGATTACGTCGCCGTCAACTGTAAATGAGCTCTTGAGAGTGGCCATGATGCTGCGCAGTTTGATCATTGTTGCGATTTGATGCAATTGTCACCTCAGCTCTAGAACTACAGCAACAGCTTTTTATTCACCTTGTTACTGTAAACATAACACGAACACCATCGTATGACTCCCACAATTGGTCGAGTGACGTCACTGGCGAAGGATCAATTTGATTTGACCAGTCACAGATCTAAGCAATAAACACAACAGCGAGCTAAGGCGCGCGCACACACAGCTAGCATAGTAATGAATATTAAACCGAGTCATCAGCTGAAGGTCACAACTTTCCTCTGGTACTCTATGATACATACACCTGCTCGGTTAGCAGAAGGTTTAAACCTAGGATTATAGGTGCCCGGGTGAGTCTAAACTCTCACCTTCCACCTGTCCCTAAGGACTCACCTGGGTAACTATAGAAGCTCACGTGACAACCTATAGAGATTCACCTGGGTACCTACAGACTCACCTGGGTACCTAGACTTACCTAGATACCCATAGATTCACCTGGCAACCTATATACTCATCTGGATATCTATATACTCACTTATAGACACTTAAGAGACTCACCTGAGTATAAGGCTTGCCATACTTGAGTGTGAGGTGGTGAGAGATGGTGTGTAGCTCTGGGACGTCAGTCTGGAGCCTCGGTGACACCCACAACAAGGACGAGATGGCCTCCGACAGGCCCTCGTCCAGGCCCCTGTAGTGGCAGGATACTGATTAATGTGACTGCTTGAAGCCGAGTCAGTACACACGACTGTAAAGGCAGATGTAATGAGACGAGTGCTGGCATACATGGTATGTAACGAGAACACCAGCATTTGGGATAACGGGGTTGAGGATGTAACTCTTGTTCCGGGTAGTGCATCTAGATGAGTACAGCAACACACAATCCTGGAGTATGCAGCTCCAGCCTGGAGTCCATACCTAGTTAAACACAAGACAAAGTTAGAGAACATTCAGAGGTATGCCACGAGACTAGTCCCAGAACTGAGAGGTATGAGCTACGAGGAAAGGCTACGAGAGATAAACCTTACGTCCCTGGAAGACAGAAGAGTAAGAAGAGACATGATAACCACCTACAAAATTCTCAGGGGTATTGACAGGGAGGACAGAGACAAACTAATTAGCATGGGGTGGAACACGAACAGGGGGATACAGGTGGAAACTTAGTACCCACATGAGCCACAGAGACATTATGGAGATTTTGTTCATTGTCAGAGTAGTTAGCAAATGGAATGCATTAGGAAGTGATCTGGTGGAGGCACACTCCATACATAGTTTCAAATGTAGATTTAATAGAGGCCAATAGGCTTCAGAACCTGCACACCAGTTAATTGACAGCTGAGGGGCGGGACCAAAGAGCCAAAGCTCAACCGCGGCAAGCACAAGATGAGTACAACTAGGTGAGTATATACTCTTCCTCCACCCCACTCCCCCCTTCTCTCTCTCTCTCTCTCTCTCTCTCTCTCTCTCTCTCTCTCTCTCTCTCTCTCTCTCTCTCTCTCTCTCTCTCTCTCTCTCTCTCTCTCTCTCTCTCTCTCTCTCATATATACATAAACACAGCCTAATTGGACAATTCATGTACCTTTTCCCCATGATACAAACGACCCACCCATTCCAGAAGTACATTTTCTTTGCAATCCTCATATTACAGTTGACTTCGTCTGCTCTGCTATAAACAATGAAATTGAAATAACAAATGTAGAATAACGTTACACCAAGAGGAAGTTAAAGTTACCTAAGCTGCTGAAGGAGACCGAAGCGAGAGAGTACCTGGTCACAGTACATCTCCGTCAGCTCCAGCGCCTCCACCAGGTAGTCTTCTCTGATGATCTGCTCCACACGTATCTTGGCCCGTGCTGTCTGCATGGTGATTCATACAAAATATTCATCTTGTACACACTATAATGAATTATAGGCTGTAGGATGCATAATAAATGAACTAAACTCAACTGTGTGATTAACAAATTGTTCCATAAAAAATACACCTTTCCTCAACTAATATTTCTAGTGTGGACAAGATGGGTTGGCATTATTTATTAATGGGCTTTGGTGTAATTAAACCAAACCTGGGCTTTGGTTTAATTACACCAAAGCCTGTAATTAAAGCCTATTAAATACAGGCTTTGGTGACTAAGTAGTAGTCTAGATGATCACTATAACGAAGAACGTCTCAGGCAAGTTGTAAAATCAATAAAGAATATGCAGGGAATTGTTAAGTTACACAGTGAACAGACATCTTTAACAGGGAAATGTAACTACTGACTTATGTCAAATTATTGTCGCAATTTAAGTTAATGTTATGTCCTTCCACACACCTTGACTGTCTGTCTATGACTGTGTGTCTATCACACACCTGACTATCTCCTACTCACCTTGCCTGTAGTGAGGCAGTCGACTATCTCCTACTAACCTTGCCTGTGGTGAGGCAGTCGACTATCTCCTACTCACCTTGCCTGTAGTGAGGCAGTCGACTATCTCCTACTAACCTTGCCTGTGGTGAGGCAGTCGACTATCTCCTACTCACCTTGCCTGTAGTGAGGCAGTCGACTATCTCCTACTAACCTTGCCTGTGGTGAGGCAGTCGACTATCTCCTACTCACCTTGCCTGTAGTGAGGCAGTCGACTATCTCCTACTAACCTTGCCTGTGGTGAGGCAGTCGACTATCTCCTACTAACCTTGCCTGTGGTGAGGCAGTCGACTATCTCCTACTAACCTTGCCTGTGGTGAGGCAGTCGACTATCTCCTACTAACCTTGCCTGTGGTGAGGCAGTCGACTATCTCCTACTAACCTTGCCTGTGGTGAGGCAGTCGACTATCTCCTACTAACCTTGCCTGTGGTGAGGCAGTCGACTATCTCCTACTAACCTTGCCTGTGGTGAGGCAGTCGACTATCTCCTACTAACCTTGCCTGTGGTGAGGCAGTCGACTATCTCCTACTAACCTTGCCTGTGGTGAGGTAGTCGACTATCTCCTACTAACCTTGCCTGTGGTGAGGCAGTCGACTATCTCCTACTAACCTTGCCTGTGGTGAGGTAGTCGACTATCTCCTACTAACCTTGCCTGTGGTGAGGCAGTCGACTATCTCCTACTAACCTTGCCTGTGGTGAGGTAGTCGACTATCTCCTGCTCACCTTGCCTGTGGTGAGGTAGTCTGCTATCTCTTTCCTGGCCTTCTGAGCCAACTCTGTTTTCTTCTTCTCCAGCAACTTGAGCCTATTGATGGCAAGTCTCAGATTGGTCTTGAGTTTGTTATAGTTAGGTCCTGAGGCGAACATGGTTGTAGAGGCAGGGAAGGAGACCAGCTTGTACACAGATGAAGCACGTATGATAGTGCAGAGCTGCTAACGGGGGCAATAGGTATCACCCCTGTATCTTAGATAACAACTGATCAGCTTACTGGATACTTATTTACCGAGTCATGAGATTGTTTTTTTTGAGGACTTGCAAATGATACATGTAATAAAATTGTATTACAATTTGAATGCAGGTTTAAAGATTTATGAAGTAGTGAAAAATGGGATAAATTTAGTGTACAATTGGTAATGCACAAAATGACAATAAACTAGACAAAAAGAGAAAGTTAAAGACTTTAGTAGTGTTAGCAACCCGCCAAAAACTCTTAACCCAAACTAGTAATACTGTATGGAAATACAAATGCCTAAAAACTAATATGATGCACCGAGCATGTCTGAGGTAAAGAAATACGACGTCAATTGAATAAACAATAAAATGCAAACATAATACGGGATCAAGATATATGCGTACTCGCATATCAGTTGAAACCTTGACATAAAAATGATCAATATTGTAGGTATACTGACAGCTGAGTGGACAGCGCTCGGGTTCTTAAGGTTCCGGGATCGATCCCCGGTGGAGGCGGAATCAAATTGGCAGTTTCTTTCACCCTGGTGTCCCTGTTTACCTAGCAGTAAATATGTACCTGGGAATTAGACAGCTGCTACAGGCAGCTCCTGGGGGTGTGTAACACAAAGGAGGCCTGGTAGAGGACCGGGCCTCGAGAACGCTAGGCCCCGAAATCATCTCAAGATAACCTAAAGATATACTCTAAAACCAGACTTTATGTGCCTCACATTGTACTATTATTCAGAAACTTGCTGTTTCTGCGCCGACCTCTAACCCAGAATTATTCAACAAAAATTATAAATTTGAACTTAAAACAAGGCCCAACATCAGACAGCATGTAGTCACCTTATCCTCATACCATCCATGCAATCGACCACGCCACCTGCTTAAATGTACCTGCGAGACGAAGAGGACCTATGTGCTGCAGCTCTCTACGACGGACACGGCGTTTTTTTTTCAGGGATATTCTTGCGCTGGCCTAAAGTCTCTGGTTCTCCCTCTAGTGATGCAATTATCAGGTATGCGCTCTAAACCAGTATTTTACTCGTTTCAGTCTTAGGACTGGTGGAGGTCAGTACCATTTCACTATCTACCGGCGCTGTAATATCTTCTTCAGCTGATCCTGGCAACGCTGTGGTTTTTGTTTAGTATAATTTTCCTTCTCCGGAGCCCGCTGGAACAGTTGCATGCGCGCCTGACGGAGATTGTCCCGTGCGATAACGAAAAGTGTCACCAAGTCCTGTGGTAATGCTACGCAGAGGCACACATGACCCATCAGGTCATCCTGTCCATGAACACCTTCCAGGGGATAAATAGTGTGTGTATCGCTCCCAATTTTCTGTGCAATAGATGGGGCAATACAGTCAGGTCCCCGTCCTGGCCATAATGGTCACCTGGCTCCTGGTAGCGGCCGCAGTTGCTCAGGTCACCATAGGCTGTCAATGCCAGAAAATTGGTGTTGACGGCAACATAGACGTTCCTTGATAATGACAGGTCTTGCATATTGGTAATAATTCATCTTTCATAATTAGTAATTTTGTTTACAAGTGAAAGCATAATTGTACATAGCTGTAGGTGGTGGTGAGGGATGAGAGATGTGGAAGGGGTGAGAGCAACGTTAGTAGTAAAGGTTTGAGGGGGTGGAAGTGGCAAAAGGGAAGTGGTGCATAACTTGCCAAATACATTAACAACATTGAAAACTCTTAGTACTCTTTAACATTATATTGTAGAATGTCACTAACAGATTTTCAACCTGTATCGAGATATTCCGAATTATAAATATTTTCCAGTCTTCCACACTGCTAATGTACTGTGCCTGTAACCCAAGATTGTCTATGTACAAGTACTATAACAATTATGTGTGATGCAAGTAATGCTAGAGCTGGAGCATTAATTACACCGACAGATTAAAGTGCTCTAGCAATAATGCTACAGCACTTTAATCATCTGTGCTCAAGTACTCGACAACCCATCTCCAGTACCTGTTTACATCTCCAGCTCTGTTCATGTAGAACATAAAAGTGCTCTGGGATAGCACTGTAAAAGCTGGGATAGCATTGTAAAAGTTACATTATGTGTAACATCTCTAACCATGTAAATGAAAAGAAAATATTTATGTACAGTACTGTGCTGTTGGCATTGCAAAGGAATGGCTACTTCTGTGGTAGAAATAAGGTAACCCCAGCTTTTTGTTGTTCATTCCAGTATTTCTACATTCATTCCTAGTTTGCAGTTCCCCTTCTCTGCAAATAACTTGTCTACCAATTTCAGCAACATCCTTTAAAGAAAATATTTGAATACCCATTACAATGCTATAAGGTGAAATTAAATGCAACAACTCCTGTACATTATATATTTGTGAATTAAATTAAAATTGGGATCATCTCCCACTGTACAAATTAATCATTTCCCTTACAAAACACTTAACGATTCCCAATTAAATTGGGAACTGTATTAATATTTATAATACAACTCTTGGGTAACTCGTATGTTCAGATCACTACTGACCATGAACAATCCATAAGTATAAGTACTTGTCAGGCTCTAGAGTATCCCTGCACGTTATGGAAGGATTCCTTGCCACTAATAAAATTTTATGCAGTCAGGGATCTATTTCATTCATATACAGTAGCAAGAGCAAGCTCAGGCTTGTCATAACCCAATTCTTCTGGAGTGCTGATACCAAGATCCTGCAGGGTTGGGTTGATCTCCTGTGGGATAATCAAGGTTATCAATACTACTTCACACAAATATTAATAGTTCACATTTACCAGACCTGTGTGTAGGATTATTTTAAGAGTTTGAGCCCTGGGCAGGGAGGATTGACTAGGCACTAATCTGTACACCCAGCAGTAACTGGGAACCTGGTTGTAAATAAATTTGAGTCAAAAATAATTGGGTAAACCTTAACATGAGCTCAGAGCCTGCTAACAAGAGTCAGAATGTCTATTCATGTACCAACCTGTACAGTATTTAGAAACCATAAGATGAATACAGGTTAAAACTAGATACTGTACTGTTATATTGAAGCATATTAAAGTAATTGCTTGCCTGCTTACCTCATTTGAAATGAGGTGCTTATCAGACATCATACCGACATCAAATTTTGTACCAAATCAAAACAAAGTTAAAGGTGAAATGACCCTAGAAAATTTAACCTTCGTGTTCTAATGGTACTAAAACACGTCATCTGATTATTATTCATAAACATTCATACATTCATTGCTATCACACAGTCCATAAAAATTTCACTAGTTGTTGCTTCTATTAAGAGAATTCATTCGCAATCATTTTGATACAAAATAGTTATAACTCAATAACATAGAAAACAATACGTTTGTAAAAAAGTTTAGCATCACTGAGCTGCCAGGGAAGCCCAGAATGCAGACGGTGAGTCACAATAACGTGGCTGAAGTAGTGACAAAACCACACATCAGAGAGTGAAGAAAGGACACCATTTCGGTTGGTTACTCAACTTCATAATGGGCCAGGGTGGACAGAAATGTCGGCATTTCTTCACTTTTCGATATGTGCTGTGTTCAGAGCCCAGAATGCTTACTGACAGGAATGCAATGAGGGGTTGAACTGCCAAAGTGTTAATAAAGTCCTAAAAAGTGGTTTCTAAACAATTTAAATATTAAAGGTATACATAGGAAAATGTAAATAGGTGGAGCAAGTACCTGTAGTCTCAATATCAACAGCCCAGTAGTGAAATTGAGGAAAAATAAAAATGCAAACATGATTTGTTTTGCTAGTGCCAAAAAAAAAAAAAAATAAGAAAGAATTTCCATGGGGAAAAAAACAGAGGTGCATATTAGTGCAGTGTAGATATATGCAGAAATTATTAAATTTCAGTAGAGTAAAAAGAAAAATGGAAAGCTTAAAATAGGCATGCTAGCATTGGAAGATATGCTGTCAAATGATGAAGGTGGGAGAGGGGGGGGGGGGGGAGACAAGAAAAAAACAAAATTGTGCAACAAGTTCACTGAAGAAAGAAATAACTAAGTTTAACACAGGAATGTAATGTTAGTGGTATAAACTGCATATTTGAGTACAATATACAGAACTATAATAAAACTACTGAAAGGGAACAGGAGTGCATTTAGAGTATAGTACATTGTGTGAGGATGTACATAACATTATACATTGATGTGCCTCATAACTGCCTCAATTATGCATGTACATTACATGCATATACTCTACTGTAATTAATTATAACAATACCAACTTAATACCTTTCCCACCCCATTCACTAGTTATTGAACTCCACAACACTCACTCCCCCTCTCTTCCGACACCACTGTATAACTTGTCTATACTGTATAACAAACCATGTTATGCATATTTTCAGTTTGCATGCAAATGTTTCCTTTCTTCTTTCTTTTACATGGAAAGAAGATTAAGCTTTTTATATTTAAACAAATTCAATGCCTACACACTTTGAAGTATGAAGCATTAGGATGATGCAAATGTGGGTACCTAATATTTTATTACAATGCTCACTTATTTCTACAGATTTAAATAATTAAATATAATTGTAATAAAATGAATCCCACATATGATCATACTTAAAAATTGTAGCTTCCAAGAAAATAATGCAGCATTTTTTGGGCTATTACAAATTTGTGAAAGTTTTAAATGGGCTACAATGCTTTATTTCAATAAGTACAATACTTTTTGGACTTCATCAACATCAGGTATTAGATACTAAATGAAAATCAGCAAAAAATAAAAAAAAATGGTACTCGACTACGGATAACAAATACTGTAAGGTAAAATTATGGGCGAGTCACTTTCAACTCACTTTTACAAAATAAACTGCTGTACTACAAGAATAAAAGTTTCCAAGTCAATACCTAAGATACTATTCAACAACACATGCCAAACCCACCTGAAGAATGTATGGGTAAATAGCCTTTTCTTTGCGACCGCACTTCTCCTTCACTGCCTCCAAAAAGCGAACTGCTAGAGCAAAATCGTTGTTGCGCCTACAGGCCTTCAAGGCAGCAATGATAATCTTAGGCTCTGGCACCAAATCCATACCACACAAATCGTTCATGGCCTGGAAAGCAACATAACAATCCTTTAAAGTATTTAAAACATTAAAGCAAGGACAACATTATATTACACATTTAATAGGTTTAAGGCTAAAACTGGAGCCTTGTATGTACTGTAATTGAAAATTAAGATTTTAACTAGTCTGAATTTTGAGTTAGGTATGCAGGATGCAGTGTGGCCTCTCACAACTTAGTGCCTAGGAATGGGGTAGTCAATTTTATCATTTAAAAAAAAATCCTTAAATTTCATTTAAATGTGCCATTATGTAATAGTATTGAATTTAAGGTTAACTATATAGGCTTTGGCTATAACTTATCAGAGATATCTAAGGACCAGCATATTTTGGGATACAAATAGTGGTCAAATTAGTATTGTACCAAGAGTGTGAAGATTAATATAATGAACAGCAGCTGCTGTAGGTGGAGTAATAGTGGCAGCAACAGCAGAGGCAGCAGTAAATGTACCAATATAAAATCCATTAGTGTATGTCAAGCAGATCTTGCTCTTTGAGCCACACCTCTTAGTTACTGGTATTTGTACCTAGTTACCTGGAGGTATTTTCGGGGCTTAGCATCCCTGCGGCCAGGTCATACTAGAAATCAAAATACAGTGTACCTGTAAACATGACTAAGAGTGTACTATGTTGTATACAAAATTCTAAACCCTACACTCACCTTACGAATTTCCCAAGCATCAATTTCAGGCCTTGAGAAATAAGCTTCATATCTAGCATCCAATTCTTCGTCAGTCTCTTTCGAGTGTTTGGACATGCTGCGGCTCGCTGTGGCTGCAAGAGAAATACTGTTATGCTCACTTGCTATTTTCCTACACCCTTTCTCCAGAAAATTAAATTCATTTATCAGTGAACTAAAAGAAACTTTTTTAAAGCTTGAGCACTGCCACTAGGCCACTGCTTGGTACAGTACATAAAGAAAGCAAAAGTGTAAATAATTATGTACTAGCCCAAGCTAAACCATTTGAACAGTTCACAAACAAACTATTCAGCCAAGCAATGGAAATAATCTGGCTTCTAAAGAGCCAATACTAAACCTGGAGATATGGAAAAAAATACCACCATAGCCTAGAGTTAGTAGGTTTTGATTGCTGGCTATCAAGAGAGGTATCCCCAGGCTTTCATGCCATCATTTTAAGAGGTAACTAACACATTTACACCTATGTTAATTATCTTTGAATCAAACTTCATATTTGTGGTACAATATTCTAAAAGTTTCCAATGCCTAAAGTACTTTACAGGTAGATGTTGAAACATGAAATAATTTATAACTAATGAACTACATTTCAAATGTGTTAGGAAAGGCGCCGTACTCCCAACTACCACGGCGCTGTATTCCCAGCTACTACAATACTGTATTCCCAGATATTATAGTTCTGTATTCCTAGCTACTACAGTATTGTATTCCCAGCTACTACACTAGACGTCCTTCAGATGCTTACAAAACAATGGCAAGCTAAATTAAGTCAATAGGAAAAAATTGTGTTTACTCTTGTGGATAAACAACGTTGAGGTGGCGAGAGAAATTGTGGCAAATTGAAATTGCGGAAATTGAGAGAGAAATCTTCATATCATGGAAGATTTCACCTTAAACAATTAAAACAAAAATGTGTTATCTACCTGATAAAAAGCAGACTGGGGGACAGGAAGCCGTAAGACTTACCACGGACACTCTTGCCGAGGGCGTACATGTAGTAACCCATCCAGTTAGTGGCCAGATCCACCGGTGCTTAACCTGAGCGAGCACATCACCTCCCAGCTATACAAGCCGTTCGATTAATGGTTCGCGTTTACACAAGCAAACATGTCCGGTGAGCGGTGAGAGTCGGGTCCCAGGAGTGGTCACCAAGGTGGTGTGTGTGTGAACATACCTGCAGGTAGCCTGGAGGTGGTGGGGAGCACGGCGGCCCTGACGAGGCAGGAGGCCCTGGTGATGGAGGAGCGCAACATGGTGGTAGGAGAGGTGGATGACGACCGCCGGCTGCTGCAGTAATGGTGGCTCACCCACACAACCACACTCTCTCTTTCTCAGAACCTCCTCCACTACTTCTCTCATAACTATATATTTTGCACTAATATTGTCAAAAACTTATTACAAAAATTAAAAAAGTTAATTATTATGAATATTCTTATTATTCTATCTAAAATCAAGGTTTCGTATCCATTATTTTTCATTATTATTATTATTCTCAGTATTATCATTATAATTATGTTTATCTATTATACTTTATATAGTATTATGTTGAATAAACGAGTAAGAACTGGGTTGTAAATCATTGATAAATATAAAAATAACACACTGATAGCATTTAAACCCAAAACTCTAAATATCTTTAACACACAAAATGAATTACTATTGTCATCTTACCATCTCATTTATCTTAGACAAAAGACAAGTGAAAACCCTTAAGATAATAAATAAAGGCTTGTAAGATATAGAATGGAAGTTTAGGGGTTCTGAGGACTGGAGACGCTGCCGCCCGGCCTCCCCCACTAGTACTCACCTAATTGTACCTCAAGGTATAATTCCCGTTGTCGAATAGGTCAAACTATTGATCTTGATGCAACCCCACAACAGTTGGTTAACTCCCGTGCACCTATTATTATTGCCAGGTGAATAGAGGTATTAGTTGAAAGAAAACGTGCATAATGTACCATTTCTATCCCGCTCGAGGATCGAACCCTGGATCCCCGATTATGAGTTACAGGCTCTAGAGACCACTATAGGCTCTGTTATATCAACATTTGAAACTTTGGGAGGGCGATTAATACTTGTGCTTGGGCTAAATATTTATTTAATAATTAAATGAACATCTAAGTAATATAATTGAAAATAATAAGTAAATTATAAGGCTTTCAATAAGTGGCATAACTGAAAGTAGTAGATAATAAGTGAATTACAGTATAAGGTTTACAATAAGTGGCATTATAATTGAATTAACTGTACTAAATGGTAATGTATCCGCCCTCCTAAGGTTTCCCAAGGTCAAGAAAACGGTCAATGTAGTGTCCTCACCTAACCTGCCAGCGGACTCAAAACAGAAAACGGGACAGTACGTCACTTTTGTACGTATGACAATTCTAGTACGACAATTTTTGGCTGTATGTAACGCATACGAGCGAAAAGCGACGTTCTTTGTAAGAGGACAGGTTATCTTGAGGTTATCTTGAGATGATTTCGGGGCTTTAGTGTCCCCGCGGCCCGGTCCTCGACCAGGCCTCCACCCCCAGGAAGCAGCCCGTGACAGCTGACTAACACCCAGGTACCTATTTTACTGCTAGGTAACAGGGGCATAGGGCGAAAGAAACTCTGCCCATTGTTTTTCGCCGGCGCCCGGGATCGAACCCGGGACCACAGGATCACAAGTCCAGCGTGCTGTCTGCTCAGCCGACCGGTTCCCAAGGTTGATGTATAACCTGTAAATAATGGATAATTATAATTAGTCTTCGCGGGAAACTAGCCTAATTTACAGTGTATCTAGTGTAACAGGTAAAACAATTCGTAAGTTATAAAACTTATATATAATAAGTAAAATAAGCCACAGGAAATTCACAGAGAAGATTGCTGTGGGCGAGGGGACCGGGGACGGAGCGGCGAGCTCTCGACACGCCTTCAGGGCGGAGCATGAGGGTACAGTGATGTAGGGAAGCCCCATATTTCCTGGTCGCCTGAATCACCATCTACATTGTTTGGTGGTGTAGAGCATCTTCTGTCTTCAACGTCATGGGAGATCTTGCTATCTCCCCCACACTCAGCACTGGCGTCCTTCACGTGATGTTTCTTTCCTCCGCTGTCTCCGTTGTCCGCTTCTGTGTTGCCTCGCCAGTTGCGTCCTATCTTGCTTTGTTGCTTGCGTTGTGGGCCCCCTGCTCGTCATCTACTGCACACGTGCTTGTTCAGCAAGCCTAGTTGCAGGTTTGGTTAAGTCTCACTAGAAATATCAAATAGATATTTGTTTCTTGTGTGGTGCCCATGGGTTCTGTTCAAGCTTCCGGATTATCATTGCCGTTCAGAATTTGATAGATACAGAGTACACTTGAGAGTGTGTGAGGTGCTTAACATAATCATGGATTGCAGTAAGTTGAATTGAATTGAAATTGAAATAAGTTTATTGAGGTAAAATACACACAAGGGGATGAGGTAGCTCAAGCTATTCTCACCCCGTTCAGTACAACGTGTTCATACATATATAGACACACATCACAAACATTAAACATATTGCCGGACATTCTGAGAGATAAACATATACATTTCCTCTTTTATACAGGTAATTTTTTGCAATAGGTGTCCTGAGTAATTGGAATTTGTTATTGTTCTGATTGCTGATTTATATCGAGTAAGATTGCGTCGTATGTAATTTTGAGTTGTAGATGCGCGTAGGTGAGATGGGTAGGTGGGTGAATAATTAAATATTACCAAGGCAGAGCAAGGTATCGAATTGTAGAGAAAATGTCTGCTGTTTTAGAGACTTTCTCTTATATTTCGTATATGACAATTTGTTGTTCGTATATGTTCAGTTTGTTGTCAATATGAACAGCAAGCAATTTCCCATTTACTCTGCTCTTAATTATTGCTAATTGATAGTCTAATTTGATTGAGGGACTTAATTCCGAACAATATATAAATTATTTTTTCAATGTAAGGGTAAGTTTGTTCGCAGTCAGCCACAGTTGTAAATTTTTGAGTTTTGTATCCACTGTATCATTTAGAATAAGTGAGTTAGCATTTTATAAAATTATGAAGGTTGTATCATTAGCAATTAAACATAATTGGTTTCAGGTGTTGCGTGACACTTAGTAATCACTGATGTAAACGAGAAAACGGAATGAACATGAATACTACCCTGTGGAACGCGTACACTGTTAACTGGCAGTGTGGGTTGTGCTTGCGGGGGTTGAGCTCTGGCTCTTTGGTCCCGCCTCTCAACTGTCCATCAAACTGATGTAAAGATTCCTGAGCCTACTGGGCTCTATCATATCTACATTTGAAACTGTGTATGAAGTCAGCCGTACTGCCTAATGCCTAATTAGGTATTAGACTGCCATACTGCCACATCACTGCCAAATGCATTCCATCTGTTAACTACTCTGGCATTGAAAAAGTTCTTTCTAACGTCCCTGTGGCTCATTTGGGTACTCAGTTTCCACCTGTGTCCCCTTCTTATAATCTGAAGTAATATATTGGCAAAAGCTAAGTATATAGCTTTTGCCAATATATTACTTCAGACCCACAACTTTAATCAATATGCTTGACTTGCCGCATGCAGCTCTTGACAAAAATGAGTACCCCAAATAGGTTTATTTGTTGACCTGTGACAGACTTTTGATACCCTTAACCACAATAGCTTTTTTTCTCAAACTGCAGGTCAGGAGTCACTCCCTTCAATGCTCACACAATGGCAGGAGTGAAAGGGAAGGCAGGAGTTGATATTGATCTAAAGGAGTTGGTCTAAAATTTTATATGATTACAGTCATGAAAGTCGTGTGTAGCGTTGATGTGGCCTTCAGCACCCAAGTAACGCCGGGTACAAAAGCTATAGTATTATTTATGAGCAACCAGTATACCGTATAGTTTAGGTTGCTGCAGAAATACGGATTACATAGCTTTGTTTACACAAACAATGATGTAGTTGAAAAAGGTTAAGTTGACATGTGCCTTGGGTGAGACGTGTAGCTGAGGGTGAGACATGATGCCAAGGGTGAGACGTGAAGCTGAGGGTGAGACATGATGCCAAGGGTGAGACGTGTAGCTGAGGGTGAGACATGATGCCAAGGGTGATATATGTTGCCAAGATGACCTAGTGTATATGCAGGGAATTTGTACACGGACAGACTTTCTGTTATATTAGACTAGGTTATTGAGACAGACATTTGCATGTATTACTAATGATCAATATCGGCTAGAATTTTTAAATGACTTCTTAAAATATCTAAATGGTCTCCACTTATAACTCGCATATAGATTGCACCATAAAAAACACCAATTTGAATAAGTTGTCAAATTAGTTTCACATAAAACCACAGTTATTAATTCTGACATCACCCACTTTAAACACCCCCAATCCTCGTTTTTTCCCCCAACCACTTGGATTGAACGGTAGAGCGACGCGCTTCTTGCAGGTCAGCGTTCAATTCCCAACATTCCAAGTGGTTGGCCATTTCTTTCCTTCGTCCGGTCTAAATCCTTATCCTCATATATCCCTTCTAAGTGCTTTCGCCTGATAATTCCTATCTTACCTCGTCACTTTGACAGTTGTATACCCCATGCTGCTTCAAAATTTAATATAAACATCGTTGAATGCAATGATTGTTTGATAACCTGTCCGAATGGAAGTTTTGTTCCGAGAAGGTGAATCTAAAACAACAACTTCCTGACTGTTTATACAGCAGAGATCAATCACGGTAGACATGGGTGCGGGAGGCAGGTAATGGAAGGGTAAGAGTCATTCCAATTATTTTCTCATAAATTTCTGCACTGTGGAGAGACACGTCACACTACATATAACGAGGCCACGTTCGTCACGACAACAGGTGTTTAAACTTGGCGCGTGTTGCTTAGGTTTACCTGGACCAATCACCGCCCTCCACGACCAGTGTCTGAATCCGAAACCTTAAACTTATACCTATTAATACGTGGGCGTTACCATATGTAATACAAGTTATTCGGCAACTGCTTATGGTTAGTTTGCATATCTGAGTAATAGAATAAAAGTGTATACATTTCACAGAAGATTTAAAGTGTTATATACGAGTAAGGTGGTTACTAATAAAACAAGCAAGATGTTGGCAAGGGTTTAGAACACGGGGAAGGTTTGTTTACGGCCAAGTGGTAGGAGGAGGGCAAGAGCCAGGCAGAGCCACAGTACAGCATCTCTCTCTCCAGTCTTCACTTGTCACCAGTTCTGGTGTGGGTTCTACACCTTCAGTTAAACTACGGCACCTTTCATCATGAGATTGTTAATAAGTAAGAAACAGGCTGTTAACTGTCAAGAATGTATTCCAGGGCATCACGTATTATCTTGATCTAGATTTAATTGTACTCGATATGGAATTAATCTTTTCTAAATTTTAACTTAATATTGCATAAATGTATCGGCTTGTATGACAGATGATCTTTTCAGAGTATTGCATTATACAGTAATTTTTCAATGTCTAGAATACGAAGCATGTTAATCTTGTTACACAAGAGGGGGGGGGGAAGACCTTGCTAACAAATTTTAAAACTTCTTTAACTTTAACCAACCCAGCTGAGCCTAACCTAAGGTAATATATGCTGATCAAACTATACAATTTTGTATGGAAGACACTTTGATGAAAAGTCTGTACAATTTTACCATACCCCACCTGTTAGGTTTAATGAGGTTTCTTAGCTACGGACGAGGTCATTCATACAGTCGGCTGCCGGGGCCCCTTTGATATGTAACAGATACATAAACTTGTTCTTTATATCAAACCAAGCCATGTTTTCAATTTACTGCTACATAAAGCTCTAGTGCTTAGTGTTCCACCTAACTGCAAGCATTTCTTCAGAAAACTCGAAGCCTCTTATAATACCCACTGTCCAATGCTAACGAAACAAGTCGCAACTAAAAGGTTAACCAATCCGTGGCTTACTAAGGGTATACTTAAATCTATTAGTAAAAAACATGGCCATGAGAAGTAGTATAGGTTAGAGGGTCATCTCCAAAGTAGTTTGAAGGAGATACTCATCAATGCTGTCGAAAATAATTAGAGCCAAAACAAAATACTATGAAAATAAATTTGATCAAATTAAGGGCAACATTAAGGAAAGATGGAGCACTATTTCCCAGGTATTAGGATCAAAGGAGATATTTAATTAAAAACCAATACTCCTATACAATGATGATGGTGTGCTTTCTGCCTCTGACACTATTAAATTCAATTGTTTCTCCACATCCATTGGCACATCCCTTGGAAATGATATCCCATCCTCCCTAACTAATGTTAAGGACTACCTTAAAGGAAACTATCCAGTCTCTATATCTAACTCACTAATTCCTCTGTTAGAGGGAATCCTTTCTCTTAAAACAAAGTAAAGTGCTCTTGCTAAGATACCAACTCTAATCTACAAAAGTCTTTAGATTTCAAGATCCAGACATTGCACTGCTCTGCAACAAATCCCTTGAACTCCAACCCTTTCCAGATATTCTAAAAAAAAGCAAAAGTAATCCATCCATAAATGTGATCTCACTGTTGTCAACAATTTCATACCTACATGTATATCAATTCTGCCACCCTTGTCAAAAAGCTTTGAAAAGCTAATATACAAGCAGCTTTACTTTTATCTAGACAAACACAATATACTTAGCTGCTGCCTGTATGGCTTCAGACCCCCAAAAAAGCACTAATGATGCACTGATTAGTATGATTAACTTGATACATGCAGCTCTTGATAAAAATTAGTTCCCTGTTGACCTATGTAAGGCCTTTCCTTGACACTGTCATCCACCACAACCTCCTTCATAAATTACATAATTATGGAGTCAAGGTCATTTGCTCCAATACCTTCAGACTTAACTTAGTGACAGGCTCAGATATGTTTCTGTGAATGATTCCGTATCTCCTACCCTACCCATCAACATTGGTGTTCAACAGGGCAGTATACTTGGCCCTCTCCTCTCTCGTCTACATTAATGACCTTCCACGTGCCTCTCGACATCTAAAGCCAGTTTTGTTTGCTGATGACACAACCTTCATTTTCTCTGGTCCAAACCCTCTTATTCTGAATGATACAGTAAATACTGAACTAAATAAAGTCCATCTTTGGCAAACTGCTAACAAACTTGCCCTTAACGTTGACGAAACCTTCTATATTATGTTTGGTATTAAATCTCGGATTAAATTAAATTAATCTTAAGAATTAACAGTATCCAAATTAGTAACAAAGTACGTAGATGATAAATTCCTTGGTGTTCTCATTGATAACTAGTTCAATTTCCAGGGCCACATTAATTATATAGGAAAAAAAAGTTTCTAAAACTGTTGGCATTCTTTCTAAGATCAGATGTTATGTATCTCGCCCTGCTCTTGTAACGCTTTATTACTCTCGTCTATCCTTACCTAAATTATGGTATCTGTGCTTGGGGGGTTTTACTACCCAAAATCATCTGCATCCTCTAATTACCCAACACAAATCTGCTATTAGAACAATATCAAACTCTGGCCCCATTCAGCACTTGATCCCCCTACTTAAATCAAATGTTAGGTATTAAGTCACTGCACATCTTCTCAAGTGTACTCTATATATATCTAAAACTCTGAACTGTAATGCCAATCCTGGCCTAAAATGTTTCCTAGAATGTTGTAGCAGAACCCATGGGCACCACACTAGAAACAATACATAATGTATTTGATATTACAAGAGTGCTACTTAACCACACTAGAAATGCTCTGCAAATCAAGGGACCCAGAATGTGGAATGACCTTCTCAATCATGCCAAAGGCTGTTCCCCACTCAACCAGTTTAAGAGAAAAACTAAGTACTACCTAATAACTCCTTGTAACCTACTTTATCTCCTAAATATCAACCTATTTTCAAACAATATTGATTATTTACCAACTTGTTTAACTTCTGATATCTGCCATGTATAAACTTAAAGAAAATTGTAATCCTCTGTTTATTTAGGTAAAATTTCTAATGTTAAATCCATCGTGTAATTTTTTTTCCCATTTATGCTTTTGATCTTGATTAGTACAGTACCTGTATTAAGTTTGTCTTAAGTTGTTTCCCACCACTTGCCCGAAATGCCATGCGTACAAGTGGCTTAGGGCACTGTATATACTACTCTTATCTATAAATCCAACCTTGTTTGTAACTCATTTTCAATGTTTATACCTTTACCTGAATAAACATCTTGCCAACTTGTACGAAGTATTAAAATTTCTTGATCTATAATTGTCATATTCAGAGGGTTTAAGGTGTCCAATCAGCAACCGACCATTAGATCTAAAATTAGGGTGTTTATGGAAAGATTGACTATAAAATTTTAATGTTTATACTTATTACTACTGTGTACAGTATTATAATTCCTAGTTAATTGTAATATTATTACCCGGCCTAAAGAAGTACATTATAGCCTCTTTAAAAAAAAAAACAAAAAAAAAAAACCTAATTTTAAAGCTATTGCTGCGAGTTATTTATCTAAGGTATTTAGGTCCGTTTCCAATTTGTTGTTCTTAGGTTGTTTGTAACTTTTTTGCCTAGTTATTTCCAGATAAACCCACAGGCTCAAAGAACGGCTGGTGGGTCATTACAATTATGGATAGGTTAAATACAATAGTTGGTCTTTTGATGTTATAAACATTTCTGAGTGCACCATAGAGGTTACTTGACACGTTAAATATAAATTCAAATAATAATAGGACGAGTATGATATTGGAGTCAGATTTGTCACTGTCTTTGACATTAAATGATTTACTTAAATTATGCAGTGAAAGGCATTTAAACAATTACGAAGTTTATTATTAATTGTAATGTAATTTAATCCACAGTTATCTACGCAGTCTTTGTTGGAGGAGCTTCAGCGCTATACTCGCCATCAAGTGGGGTGATAGATCTTACACCATCAAATTTCCAGCAAGAGGTGATAAATAGTGACGAAGTATGGATAGTAGAATTTTATGCCCCTTGGTGTGGACATTGCGAGGCACTCGTACCAGAGTACAAAAAAGCTGCTCAGGCCTTAAAGGGTGTTGTGAAAGTTGGTGCTGTTAATGCTAATGATCATCAAAGTTTAGCGGGACAGTATGGAGTGCGTGGATTTCCTACCATCAAAATCTTCGGTTTAGACAAGAACAAGCCGGAGGAGTTCAATGGACAACGAACAGCTCAAAGCATTGTGGATGCGGGCTTGAAAGCTGCCAAAGAAAAAGTGAACGCCCAGATGTCTGGAAAGAAGAGCAGCAGCAGTGGTGGTCGTGGTGGTGACAGCGGCAGCAGTGGTAGTGCTGATGATGTAATCGAGCTGACTGATAACAACTTTGAGAAACTAGTTCTAAAATCAGATGAACAGTGGCTTGTTGAGTTCTTCGCTCCCTGGTGTGGCCATTGTAAAAACTTGGCTCCTCACTGGCAAAAGGCTGCCACAGAGCTAAAAGGCAAAATTAAGCTTGGAGCTCTAGATGCTACTGTGCATACTGTTATGGCAAGGAGGTATGGTGTACAGGGCTATCCTACTATAAAGTTCTTCAATAAGGGAGAAGTGGAAGAGTATAATGGAGGTCGAACATCATCGGATATAGTGGCCTGGGCTAATGATAAGGTTTCGGCAAATATCCCACCTCCAGAAGTAACGCAGATTACTGATGAGGAAAGTTTGGAAGAAGCTTGCAAAGAACATCCTATCTGCATTATTGCTGTCCTTCCACATATTCTTGATTGCCAAAGTAAATGCCGTAACAACTACATTACCACATTGACTAAACTTGGTGACAAGTACAAACAAAAGATGTGGGGTTGGGTTTGGTCTGAAGCCATGGCTCAAAGTGATCTAGAGCAAGCATTGGATATTGGTGGTTTTGGTTACCCAGCTCTAGCTGCACTGAATGCCAAAAAGATGCAGTTCGCATTGTTAAAAGGATCATTTAGCGAAGAAGGAATAAATGAGTTCCTACGTGATATTTCCTACGGACGTGGACGAACTGCTCCAGTTCGTGGTGCACAGTTGCCTTCTGTAACAAAAATTGAACCATGGGATGGCAAAGATGGTGCTCTACCAGAAGAAGAAGATATAGATCTTTCAGATGTTGATCTAGATGATGTGATTGACACTGCAAAAGAGGAATTGTAAAAGTTTGTTGGTCACAACTTCTAGTTCTCCAAATTGAAATGGAGTTAACCATAGTAAACAAAGGCATATTTTCTCATGTTGAGAACAGACTTTGTGAAATGCAGCTTCAGGTTATTATGGCTGTGAACCAAGGTCTGAAATTGAAATGCCTTAAGAGATTGGAAAGTTTGAATTTGATGGAATGCTATTAACAAAAGTAGGTTGCCTAATTTAATACACAGAAGCTACTTGGGCAGGTTTTTTTTTTTTTTTTTGTTAATCTAAGGTATTGAGGTAAAAAAGATGCTTCATGTTTACATTCCAAGCATTTGCCAAAGCTACTTATACTAATTTGTCAGTGTTTTTAACATGCTTGTGAATAGTAAGTTTTGAAATGTTTCAAATTAAAATTAAAGACAAGGTTCTTGAAATAATTAATAATTTTCTTCTGTAGAAGAACTGAAAGCAAGAGTTTTTGGAACCGATTATTGACATGAGGTGAAATTTTGGTAATTTCTAAGAAGTAAGATTGTATTTGCAGTTGTTTGCTTATTGCACAAATGTAATATTGTGTGAATTTTTTTGAAGTAAAATTTTGTCTAAAATATGTTGACTTTCCTTTTACACTTTTGATTTTGATAAGATTTTTGATGGTGGCATCTTGAATATCTAGGAAGTTTTGAATGTTTTTTAAGTACTGTGTGAACTTTTTGGCTGGGTAATTTTTTGTTACTTTGTCCTAGGTCAATTTCTAGGTTTTTTTTTTTTTTTTCCTAATAAATTGCCAAGTACCTAGGTCAACTAAGAATCTAAGCTAATTAGGATTACAAAAGTCTGGGCCAGGATTTGACAAGCATTTATGCATCTATCTATTGGCAATCTTTGTTTAAGTTTATTTATTGAAACTGTTTAAGAGCATCGAAACTTTCCAACTGTTATTTTTACACACAGCCTCCAACTGCTTTAGAGCTCCAGAACTTTCAATTTATTAAACGGCAAATATTTTTGATGTACAGGCTCATAAGTACTTGCACAACTGCGTGATGAATATGGCCCCTGATCCATTGTCAAATTTGTCACTATTGCATTCGGAAGATTGTAGAAAAGGTCCGGATTTTTAGCAGTTGCATTACATTTAGGGTACTTTAGCAAATGTATTTACCCTGGAAGCAAATAATTTGTCATTTTAAGTTATTTCCTAAGCAATATAGTCATATTGCTAGAAGGAAATATTACCATATTCTACAATTTGAGAGGTAGAATGTTTGCAGTGTCAAGACTTGTCTTTAAATTTTACCAGTGTTGGTTCTATGCTTGTAAGCTTACAAAATTTTTAATTGTGCATAAAAAAAAGGAAGCAATTTATCAATTTCAAAGTATATTATATAGAATACATACATACTGTCAAGTCCTCGTTTGATTTTGTGTGACTGCTGATATCTAGGTTGACAAGGGAAGCTTAAAGGTCTAAAGTTGACAGTTTTGTATTAACTATCACACTTGGTGACATAACCACAGAAATAGCAATGGCAGTGTTATCCAGTTGGGTGGTCAAAATTTGCATAATCTGTATTCTGAGAGAAAGGTGGCTTAGCATCTAATATATTAGTTAAACTTCGTGTGATGAACACACAGCTCGGCCTATTATCATGCAAGCCCTACCGGGGCAAGGTCAGAAGCCTCGCTGCTCTCCATAATGTTATACCTGCTTGATAAGGGGGGATCTACTCCCCAAGCCTAGCCGGAGGCCAAGCTTGACTTGAGTTTGCTCCAACAAGCTGTTGCTTGGAGTGGCCCACAGGCCCACATATCCACTACACTCCGGTTGGTCTAGCACTTTTTGAAGAAAACTATCTAGTTTTCTCCAAAATGTTCACGGTTATGGCAATATTTCTTGTACTTGGGAATATGTTGAACTGTGGACCTCTGATGTTTATACAGTGCTGTACCTATGGCACCCCCTGGCTTTTCAATTGTTCTATGCATTTTTTCCCATATCTTTCACTCCAGTATCTTAGTGTAGATTTGGGACCTGACCCTCCAGTATTTTCCACGTGTATATTATTTAATCTCTCGAGTCTTGTTTCTAGCGAGTACATTTGTAAAGCTTTTGAGATCCCACTAATTTAGGTGCTTTAACGTATATGTATGCCGTACACGTTCTCTATTACATCTTTCGGCAATCTCTCACTTTGAATGGGGAAGTGTCTCCAGCAGTACTCAAAATGGAACGGCACAAAAGAGGAATAGTACAACCATTGTGATGTGATCCCTGGATTTAAGTTCCCGTAATCTATCCCATCTCTTTTCTGGCCGATGCAATATTTGCTTGGTTGTGCTTCATAAATGTTAGGTTGTCGGGCATTATTCCAAATCTTTACATGTTGCTTTCCTACTATGGGCACATTTGTGTTTTGTACTCTATTATGTTTAAGGTCCTCATTTTTACTGCACAGAAATTTAAGCATGGTTTTCTGCTGTCCAGTCAAACTATTAATATCTGCTTGTAGTTTTCAATGTCTTCAGCAGAGGTAATTTTTATGCTGATTTTTGCGTTATCTTTAAAGGATGATATGAACCCGACTTATTTTTGTCTGATAGGAGAATATGGAAAAGCAGTGGTGCAAGGACTGTACCCTGAGGTACAGAGCTTTGACCATTATATTTGGTTGACTTTTTTTTTGTCAAACAGAACAGTAAAAGTATCCACCATCCTACTTTACCACTGATTTCAGTGTGTTATCACTCCATGGTCATAATTATTGAATGTGTTTGCGAAGTCCGTATATACCATGTCAGCATTGTGATTTTGTCGTACGGGTCAAGTAGCTGCGAGGCATGATCTTCCTGTTCTAAATCCATATTGGCCTACATTGGAGGTTATTGGTCTCCATGAAACTGGTGAGCAGATTCCTGACCACACAAATACTGTACTTTTGTGGGATGTTAGTTCAACTTATCTAGTTATAGTATTTTTTAATTAAACAGTGTAACTGATCTGGCTCCTATTCTTTGGCCAGAAAAAAACTAAGCCGCCATGACAAAGCATTACTTCTATATGACATCACTAGTCACTTCCAACATGGAACAAAGAGGCCAGGTTAAATAGCTGCTACTCTTAATTCTTAAGTTTCACTCCTATCATATCCAGCCTTGCCATTTGAATTTGCTGTTAAATTGTTGCTAATTAAGGGAGTAATTGGGAAAATATGAATCCATATCCTGTAGTGTGATGAATATTTAAAAAAAGAAAAAAGAAAAAGGGATAGTTATCTGTATTGCATGATAAAGTATTTGTAGGATTGGCATTACAATAGGAACCACACAAGAAAAAATATCAGTAATACATTTAAAAACTTTTATTCCATAATTGACAGCATACACTGCTTTTTGTTATCTGGGAAGTACCGTCTGAAAAAGGCTTCAAAAATTGACAAGCCCATTAAGGCTTTGCTAAAAAATTGAGATTATAAAGATTGTGCAGTAATAAATACTATTCCTTCATTTGACGAAGAAAAATGGAAAAAACTATATTCAATATGGAACACGTCATGGGTATATAATATATATTTATATAAATAGGAGTCGTCTGCATCAGTCGACATGCAATGATGCAAAATAAATAAATACTCCAACAATTCCCTCACATGGTTTAACAATATATTGTGTCCTGTTCCTGAGTGGTAAAGAGACATTGTTCTGTCACCAAGGGAGTAGGAGGAGATATGAACTAACGTAGGAATGTTGTGAGGACATTCTGGTAGTTACAATGAGACTTGATGATTGAGTGAGCAACAGGATGAGATGGCACAGACTAGTTAAAAAAATAAAAAATAAATGCATAAAAGTTTACCATTCAAACATGGATTTGCCCTGTGCAATATCTCTCTACAAGCTGCAGCCAAACTTAGTTCTTACTAGCTGGAAGCACTTTTGAAGCTCTTGAGATGCAGAACTTTACCGACTTAAAGATGATCTCTTGGATATACAATCAGCTAGTTTAAGATTTTAGTACACAACCTTTATAGTTTAAGAGCTAGGAAGAAACAGCAGAGATAAAGGGCAAATCCCATCTGTAGTCAGAATATTGGTCATCATGGGTCAATTTGATCACACTACTTCTCCATAACTACTGTCATTAAATCGTCCCGAACCTGTGTATACATTATATATACACAGCGATTTACTGTACATTACTTTTCTCTATAGTTACTTCTAAACATTATCTGGCAGTGTCAACTAAGCCTCTGCACTGAAGAGCATGTATCATTAACTACTGTATTTGAATTAAAGACAATTTTGATTAAATTACACACTTCAGTCTATGCAATAACACTACCAAATTTAAGGCTGAATGTCAAAAATTATATAAACATGAATATAAATAATAACCAACCTTGCAAATGCAGGCTACCTACCCACTAGAATATAGCGCGTAACGTATGGAAACGATCACTATAATAAATGATAAGTGAAACGTTTGCATCTGCCTTGTTAACTAGAACATTTCTCATACCACCACCAATCCACAATGTACACATAGTATATATATAGATTCTAAATTTCACCCCATCTTAGCATTTCTACATTCATTTACTCAGTTTTTTCAATGTACTGGTCATTGTTCTGTGCCAATCACTCTTCTATTAGTCTGTACCAAAGTACTTCTGTCCAAAGTGATTTGGTGCAACTGGATGAACTTCAGATGTGAGAATATGCATCTGAAAAATTAAAATTCATGATGAAGTGATGCTTTACTACCACAACTGTAGTGATAACTCAAAAGAGCATTAAAGTGTTGGCAAGAATTTTGTCACCAAAATGTGTTATAATTATGGATTTGAATTTTTTAGAAATATGAGAGAAGCTAATCCCCAATACAAAAATGATAAAATCAATACATGTATTGAAGTTTAATAAGTAGACAATTATGAAATTAAAGCTGAAAACTGTAAAGTACTGTAGTGGTTATATAACATGATATATAACAAAATGTTAAAACAAATATAGTGGATTAGTGTAGTTCTATTATATGACTAATTATACAATTAGAATGAAATTTGGTAAATATTTAGGACATTTTTCTTTAAATACTAAGGAATAAATGCACAATCTATAAAAATTACAGAGTAAACACTAAAAACTACAGCAAACAGAGCGAGAGGAGACCCCTATGAGTGATGATTTTACGAGTTGCATCCTCGAGGGGGGTCAGTACTAGGGCCAATCGTATTCCTAAGTTATACATGCAAATGACGTACTAGAGGGGGATAGATTTTTAACATCTCCACTACAAAAATTATATTATGACGGAAGAAACTACAAAATGACCCCGGATAAAATGAAATAGCCCAGCAAGTGTCTACTAGAGTAATTCTAGAAAGTGAAAAGTAATAAAAGTAAATGCTGGGAATAGGAGGCTGGAGAGAGAGAGTACCATATGGGAGAGGACACTCCTGGAAACAAAATGACTGCTGATATTACTGAATGTCACCAGAAGCCCATATTAAACTAATATAAACTGCATAGGGAAGCTGGCCAATATAAAAACTGCCTTTAGGAATCTAAAATATCATCCAGAACCTTAAATACTACAGTATTTATTTTCAATTCTGGAAGCAATTTTTTTTTAACAAAACACTAGAGAAAGTTCAGAGGTATGCCACTAGAGAGATCAGTAGACTGAATTATACAAAAAGACTTCGAGGAATTAAACCCCATCACTGGAAGAACAGGGTAGGCATAGCCACAAATATCAGGGAAACTGAGGAGACGAGGACCATACCTAGCACGGGTGGTAAACCAACAGAAAACCACTGGCGGAAACAAAGAACCCAAACTGGCCAGATACATTTTTTTACCAGCATCAGTAGTGAACAAATGGAATTCACCTCACCAAGAAGTGGTGGAAGCAGACTCCATATACATCTTCAAATGTACATATTACAGGTCCAAAGCCCAATAGGCTCAAGAACCGACAAAGTACTTAATTAAAGGTTAAGAGGCAGGACCAAAGAGCTAAAGCTCAACTTTGCAAGCACAATTAGGAGTGGTATTTCCCCAAAGTTAATACAATAACTCAATTAGATTACAAATTTCCATTTAAAACCAGTAAAAGTATAGTGAAAGAAATGAAAGGAGCCAAAATTTGGTTTTGAGCAAGTTGTATCAAAACTCACCTTGGGAAATGCACTAGTAATGGTACGTGCTGCCGCAGGAGTGGAAAATAAGTTGAGGAGTATGATGTTCTCTTCATCCACAGCATGTTCTTGAAGAACATTTACTGCTTTGATCACCGTGTTACCCGAACCTAAAATAATGCATACACCAACTTTTAAGTGAAATCCTTAAATATATATCAAGTTATAAAAATCATTTATCCATTTACAGTATCATATCCACACTATAGTATGATATACAGCATCACAAACAAACCCCTTTACCCCCACCCCACTCCAGCAATAATCAACAGCAGCACCTGCTACATAATCTAAATGCTCATCATTTAGCCACTTACTCATAATTGGATACATGAGGAGGACTTTCCGTTGGCTAATATCTTCTGGAAATTTTGCATATACAACACGTGCCTCATGAGTTTCCAGATCTGATTCAACTAGAATCTTTCCCAACCTGATTGATCGACAACATGATCGTAAACCCTGTAAATAGAGGAAAAATACAAATGCTCATTAAATATGTACCTTTTATTAGGTCTCACAAAATTACAAATTTTCTAAGAATTATGAAGTTAAAAAATTTGGCATTTTAATGAATGCATTTGCAAAAAATAATTTTTTTGTGATAATGCTTGTGCAAAGTAATTTTCCTACATTTCCTTTTATCCTGTTAAATGCTGACAAGCCGGTGACCCCCATCAAACAATTTTATAACTACTGACAACTACTTTGTTCTTGTTTCAAGGGAGGATAACCATGACTGAACAACCAACAAAATTTACCATCATTTTAGCAATTAAAAAATGGACTACTTTTCCCGAGTTTTCCAAGTTTATAATGCTGCCCTGCTACAAATTTTCCCCACACATGAAGAAGCATACAATTCTACAATTTTAATGATAAGTAAGTGGGTATCCACTAGAACAACTGGCTTGTGTGCCCTATAGCCAGTCAACTGTTCCCAATCAGAGACTGTCTACAAAAATACTTTATTGCTCTATAAAGTAAAAAAATTGATGAAAAACATCCGACATGTCAAATTTTACAAGGAAGGCCGTGGGCTGCAGGACTAGTAACTTGGCAAACAGTATTGAATAGGGCTGGGCTGTTATCAGATATTTGGCTTACTCTTGGCATATTTCTTTGTAGGATATTGTACAGTACATGAATCTCTCTTCAAACTATAAATAACCAAATTGTTTTAAAATTTATTTTGTTGAACTCCACTTTACTTCAGATGCCAAATCAGTTTAGTGTTTACCATCTTCTGAACATTGAATGCATAGGAAATGTTAGGTGGTGGCGAGGAAGATGAGGTGGGAAGTAGGACGAGCAAGAGGTTCACAGCATAACAGTGCTTGTGTAAAGTGAAGAGTAGGGAGACAATGGATGAGCTTGACTGCTTTGAAAAGATAAGTTGGAAAATGGGCATAAAGCAATCCACCCTCAAAGAATTTTGGCAGACAGCTGCCAAGAGATTCACAGCCGAGGCTTCAGCATTGAGACGTTAGGCATCTGCTATAGGTTCAGGCATTTAATTTTATCCATTAGGTTCCAGTGAACACTAGCACACCAGTAAGACTTCACACATCTACAACGATCATAAATTGGGACTAAAAACTACCACTAGGTTAACTAAGTATTAAATTTCCATTTATTCCAAAAACTTGCCCATTGCACCCACAACATTGTGGGTTATCCATTAGCTCCAAGGTCTAACCTGCAAACACTGTATACGACTAGATAGCTTATTTAATTTCTAATAGAAACCCCATTACCTCAATTTCTTCTCGTATCTAAAAGAACGCCTACACAAATTACAATTAACCGAATGGAACACTAGTAACAGTACAGTATTTAAGGTTTGGCTTTGTCACATTTGTGTGCCTGTACAATATCTGCAGAAAAATTTTCATCAAATTTTACCTACTAATTTTTGGTTGTGCCTGTGTAGAAAAAAAAAAAAAATAACAGTAATAATAATAATAGTATCCAACACTATTCTAAATGCACACATCAACCACATATTATGTGTTCATCATTGTATTGTTACTCTTTATAGAGATGTTACTGCTTTAATTTCTATTATAGTTACAGTACTGATGTAATACCAAAATAAGATACTGTACACGATTTCATTTTGCCTGTGAAGTGTCCATACAATATTTTACAAACCTTTTTTATCAATTCCTTTACACCACATTTCTAGAAACAATTTACAATACTGCTGGAATGATTTATTTATTGTAAAACAAGAGAATGAACTCACCTGCTCCATAGCTTCTCCAGATCTGACAATGGAAACACCACAGTTGCCTTTAACAAACTGCAAGCCTTTGTACTCGCAACCCGTTGGTGTTGTAATGGTGCAATTTGAGTATGGCAGCTGATTGAGACCCTCTTCAACCACCAAGCGAATCTAAGAAAAATTGCTGTGATATAATTTTATTACGCCTTAAATATTACAAAAACTAACTACTCATTACAGTACAAGAAAATATGCCATACCACATGCATCCCTCCAACATGCTGTACAGTACAATGCAATCTTGAAATCTTAGACCAGTTATAATTACATTAACTTCAAAACTTTGGGATGGTTTAGTTACTAAAACTACAGCATTTCAATTTTAGAATTGGGGCCTAAACTTTGAAATATGCACAAACTCGGGACCAACTTTGCTTCGTTGGGGACAAGCAGCCTATATTTAAATGCACACGGTTATATATCGAGGGTACCCCACCCCCGAAGAACTACCGATCCTTCCCAGGATGCAACCCAACAACAGTTAACACCTGGGGTACCTATTTACTGCTAGGTCAGAGGTATTAGGTGAAAAAATGTGACCAACCATTTCGGTCCAGCCCAGGATCCCTGATTGCGAGTCGAGATGGGTACTTAAATAGACACTGTGCAGGTGAAAATGGTGAGGAAATGCAAATCAATCACTTGGTATGAACATAAGATACCCGAGAGTAGTTTAATAAGAAGGATGTACAAAGATGAAACTACGGTTATCTCATGGTAGAGCCAGAGGACCAGAATCTTGGAAAGGAAGATTAACAAAAAAAGGTGGGTGGACTTGTGCACTTTAAGGAAAAAAAAGATATGTGCACGATAGTCTCCTGAATAGGCTTTTGCTGTGGCCACTCATTGAGAGCTATCAGGAGGAAGCAAGGTATTGCAGCTGTAAATAGGATGATAGTTACTGCTGGGTGGCACAGTCCAATAATGAAAACAGTTATAAAACAGGTGACCAGTAACATGACAACAAGCAATAGAAGATTAGCAAAAGCTGTCTGGTCCCACAAAATGGCCACAGATTTAGCCAAAACTGAAGGGCAGCGCTAACAGACAGCACATGCCGAGAGTGATAGGACTTCTGGACCGAATGAGGCAATAGGTAGTTAAAGGATAAAACAAAAAGCACTGAAGCACATCCTAATATGCAAACCAGTGAGAGGCACAGGAACAGACGCATTAGTAATAATTACGGATAAAGCATACAAGATAAACTTTTGAAGGGATGAGACATCAGTCACTTGCCATGTAATTCTGGTACTAAATATTTCAGTTTGTGTCAAAATACACACACTTGTAGACTATAGGAGAGAATCATTCAGGTGTGTCCGAAATTCTCTTGTCGTTAAGAGTCGGTTGTTACTAGAGTTAGGGTGACCAGTAACCAAATCAGTCCCTGTGGTGCAGTGGTAAAGCAGCAGCGTTTTAGTGCATTGGCCTGGGTTCGTATCCTGGCCGGGGAAGATTGATTGGGTGCCAATCCTTAATTGCAGCCTCTGTTCACCCAGCAGTGAATGGGTACCTGGTTGTCAAATGATTTGGCAAGTCGCATTCCAGGGAAAATTAAGAATAAGGACTGGCCTGAAACACTATGCATGCTAGTGGTTGAACAAGAATGCAAGAACTTTTTGTAAATATAATAATAAAAAAAAAACGACTAATCCATTGACCAGTCAGGTCCTTATTTAAACGGAGGCCACACAAATGTTAAATCAGGACTAGTTACAGTTATATTAGGTAAAAAAATCTTAGCTCTTTAGTTTGTCATACCTGTGAACAAGAGCACTGGACTTTATTACAATTGAGAATTAAGATTGACATCAAGGAAATTGTCCATTTGGGAGACAGGCAGCACATGCAGCTGACCAATTTATTCTTGTGTTAGTGCAATGTTTGTAATATCGTATATTTTGCTTCCCTTTTATGTAAAATTATATTTCCTACATGAATTACTGTCATGTGTTCATTATCCATACAGTACATGGCTATCATGTTCGTCTTCCCAAAACCTCCTTCAAAATTTAATTTATTTTCTACAATATGGCACAGAGTATATGTATGATCTAACTAGTAGACAAAAGCTTCAAAAAGATAATTCTAAAATATTAGATCATATTCCAATATTTAAACAATTGCATTTTCCAGTTACTTACTAATCTGTCGGCATAGAATTTGAAGTCGCTTCTTGTTGTATTTCTGTAAAAAAAAATTTACATTGCCTAAAATTCTTAATAAAAACATTGTATAGCATTAAGCTTGCTATTTAAGGCATATACTGTAGTAATAGTTTATTCAAATATTGCCAGTATTAAGATTATAAAGTAGAATGTTTCAACACTGATTAATCTATCAATTTATGCAGGTATTATCATTCAGGAAAATGACATTTATCAAATTATATACATTTTCCAAGTACTGTAACTTTATTATTTCCATGTATAGTACTATTTAACTGCATCTGTGTCAGTTAAATTGAACTGTAACTGCATTACACAACACCAAACTTGCCTGTCCCGGATGATTGTTTGTAGTTCCTTGACTTGCCCACTACAAGGAATTAGTCTAAAGTATGGACCAAAACATTCGACAGGTTGCATTTGGTTTTCAGTGCACGACTCTGATTTATCCACATTCTGAAACATTCAAACATTATAGAAATACTGTAACAAAAAATAATGTTGGGGTGAATGAAAGAAGGTATACTGTACTGTACAGGGGTTCCCCAACTTACAAACATCTGACAAAAATAAAGAAAACTGCAGAAGGTGAGCAGTAAAGAAACTGAACTAGTGATTTTGAAAAAATATTAAATTGAAGTTATTTGAGATTATAATAAGTGGATAATGACCACTGAACATAACAGTATTAGACAAAGGTGATAATTATGAATTATAAAAAAGGAAGTAATTTGTTACACTAATATGGTGAGGACATTAGGTTATGTACTTTTTACTTTATTATGAAGCATATGTAAATTCTTAATACAATAGTTTGAAAGGATGGACTATATGTTATCTGAAGACAGTTGTTTTTTACTGGGTGATGGGTTTGAACTACTGTACTTTAGCCTCATGCAGAGACTAAGATAAGAGTAAGCTAGTGAGTAATATGTTGCTAATACAATAATAATCACATACCCGAGTGCTGTGGTGGTCAGAGGCAGAATTAGATTTCTGTTTGTCAGTTACTGGAGCTTGGGGGGTTGTAGTTTTCTTATCAAAGGTGGCAGGCCTTGATGTAACCACCTCACTCATAGTACCCATAATGGTAAGCCTACACACTCAGGGATTATTTTCAGCAAAGCCTGTTTTGCAGAACAAATGCTTTGTTAGGAGTAGGAAAGTTACAAAATAACAAGAATTAATAAGATATATTACAATTCTAGATTGACCTATGTCTTGCTAATTATGGAAAATATTACCATACATCACTAATCTGAGGAAAGCAACATTATCTGTCAAATCTATGAGGCAACACCTTAAACACACACAAAATGTATGCAAGTAATGAACACTTGTGTAATGAGGATGTTGCTAATCATAACTGAAGGAAAACCAGTATTATTGAATGCAGTGTGTGTACTGCAAATATGTATCATTTGCAATATAGTATGCAAATATGTATCTGACCATATTGAAAAAATACAATACTGTAATTGAAAAATACACTAGTATAATTACACTATAAATAATATGCACAGGTGCAGTATTTATATTTTTCAGAAAGCAATGCACATTTCAGGAAGCCTTAAGATATACTGAACAAGTTAAGAGGATGTTGATCTGGACTTTTTTTTTCAGAAGGTCAGATGTAACAAAGAAGGAACAACGGTTTCAAGCTCAACAAGCCACAATGTAGGACTGACTACAGAAGATGCTTTTTCACCCACAGGGTTATTAACCCATAGATTCGCCTACCCGCCAAAACTGTTTTAAAATATACCTGGAAAAGATCATTACAAATGGAGGGGGGGGGGGAAGGGGGCGGCTCCTCGACAAGCCGCCGGCTTCCAGTCCTCGACGAGGCCACTAGGGTTAGTGGCCCTCGGGTAAATTTAGTATTTTTGGTTGTACATAAATTTTAAAAGCTTAAAAGGTCAACAAATACAATGGTTAAACTTGATGCATAACAATATGCCCCGCCCCGCCCCCTCCCCCCACCCCTAGCTAACATGGGAGTACCAACCCTCCCACATGGGAGAACTGGGGCGAAGGTAACGGGGAGGTTGGCACAGCTAGGGGAGAACCAGAGGGAAAGTGGGGCACATAGGGGGCAAATAACGAGGGAGGTTGGCACATACAGGGGAGAACTAAAAGAGCAGCTTGTCCTAAGGTTCCCCAACGTCAAGAAAACGGTTAATGTAAAGTGTCCTCTCCTAACCTACCAGAGGACCCAAAACAGAAAATGGTACAGTACGTCACTTTCGCCAACCGCTTCCCTTTTCTAATACTGTACAACAATTTTTGGCCTTATGTAACGCAAACGATCGAAAAGCGACGTTCTTTGTAGGAGGACAGGTTGAAGGGAGATGGGGACATGGGAAACTAAGGGAGAGGTAGACACAGGGGGCGGGGGCACTAAAGGGAAGTGGGGAGAATTAAGGGGGATGAGAATGTAGGAGAGAACCATGAGGGAGGTGGACATGTAAAGGAAGCGAACCGAGGAGAGGTGGGCGTGGGGAAAAGGAGTGCTTGTAGAGGGGGGACAAGGAAGGAGAAAAGGGAGGGGGGGGGGGGTGACAAAGTTCTACAGGACCAGGGAACTGAACCAGCTCCTGAAATATGCCACAGTCCACGGAATGTGTATAACGCTTTATTAAAACTGATTTCAGTAAAGGTACTGTAAATTGACTAACTATTCTATTAATGCGGTAACTTAATAATATTACTATGCTAAACAAGTTCCAGAGACGTCTCAACATTTGCATCACTGATCACAGGATGGGGCCCATAATAATTGAACTTTTAAAGCAAATATTGTGCTTTATACATATCACCCACCACCTTCCCCTAAGGAAAAGGGAGAGGGGGGTTGTTCCTTTGTAAGGAAAAGGCCACAACATAATCTCATTACTGAAGATGATGTCGACTGACTGATCAGCGACTAAGTCATTTTCATTTTAGGAAGTGGAAGAGGCTTTTGTTAATACAGTACATCCAATATTTTAGTTATACGCTTAAGTGAAAACGTTCTAGATTCACGGAAGAAAAATTTTGCTTTTTGTCCTACGCATTCGTGGGGTGAAAGGGTTCAAACCTAAGACCACCCCCCCCCTCCCGCTCCTTGGACTGTCATGCTTAAGGAGTCCTGCTAGGCAATACGACACCGAAGCAGTGCGTCACTTATGCCCTTAAGATTCAGCAACTCTCAAAGGTATCAACACTTCACACCAAGCAACGCTGACAGCGATTTATTTAGCAGATTATCTGTGCATTCAGAAGAGCACCTTTGCAGACCACATATTTTGATCAGCAGTTGCTACCTGAGCGATGCCGCCTCATGATTACCTTCCTGGGAGATCTCTCGCGTCTGGGATCCTTTCGGACGTAGGTTCGAGCCCTCGTCACGGCCCCTGTGGATTTGTTCCTGGGAGTTTTAGCGTTATTTGCAGTCAAGTGTACAATGAGTTATCTATATTATGCGAGATATATAGTGTCAGGATTAAAAAAAAAAAGTAGCATAATTAAGTTTGTAAGACAAAATTTCAACTCCCAGGTCCCGCTTTTCCTTTCTGTCTTATGTTTACTGCAGTGATTCCCTACCCCCGGGTTTGTCTCGTTCCTATGGCTCTTGTCTGGAACTATGTCATAGTTTTCGTTCTTCCAGTGTAATTAGGCTCTTGCGTTTGTATTACCACAGCTCACTCCTCTCTAGAGCTTGTAGGAATTTATATATACACACGAGTCTACATTCTTGTATGCATAGCATTTCGGGCAGGTCTTTATCGTAATTTGCCCCGGAATATTTGACCCGCCAAATCTTTTAACAACCAGATACCCTCTCACTGCTGGGTGGACAGAGGCTACAGTTATGGATTGGCGCCCGGTCAAGTCTCTCCGGCCAGGATACGAACCTAGGCCAAAGTAAGTAAGTAATTATCAAAAGAAGGCACCAAACCGGGAAGGCTATGTAGCACCATCAAATACGCAAAATAATCAGAGGGCGCTAAATATCACCAAGGATGCCAATACGAGAACAAAAACGCATAAGGCGAACGATATCAAAAGTATCCGAGTCACCAAGAATTCTATCGAGGGACAGGTGACCGCGAGGAGCGGTCGGAAAGCAAGACACACGCTCGTCCTGGAAGTCAGGACATTCAAGAAGGACATGCACGACCGTAAGAGGGACAATGCAACTAGGACAATAAGGAGCAGGGCGGCGCTCCATCAAGTGACCATGGGTTAAGCGAGTATGGCCAATACGCAACCTCGCCAGAGCTGTTTCCCACCGCCGGTTACGGTGGAAGGAGGACTGCCACGAGGAAACACAACATTTAAGAGTACGTAGCTTGTTACCAGTAACAGACAACCAAGAAGCCTGCCAACGGGTAAGGACTGAGGAATGGATAACCGGGTAAAAGTCGGAATACGGAATGCCCTTACGAGAGATGGGACAAGAGCGGACAGCTTCCTTGGCGGCAGCATCCGCACGCTCATTTAAAGACACCAATATGGCTGGGAACCCAACAAAACTCAACCGACTTAAATTTACTATGAACGAGAAACAGCCAATGCTGGATCTCGACAACCACTGGATGAACTGGATTAAAGGACCCGAGAGCCATGAGGGCACTACGAGAGTCAACAACAACTACAAAGGAAGACTGACAACGAGAAAGTAGGAGACGAAGAGCATAGAGAATAGCATAAAGTTCCGCTGTAAAGATGCTAGTCTCCGGAGGCAAGCGACACATATAAGTGCGATCAGGAAAAACAACAGAGTAGCCAACACCGTCCGCTGACTTAGACCCATCGGTGAAGACAGAAACGGAGCGGGAGTGAGAAGAAAAGTGCTCGAGGAAAAGGCGTTTTAGAACCGTAGGAGGGGTAAAAGCTTTAGTGATACGGGTCAAGGAAGTACAAAACCGCGGAAGAGGGACCCTCCACGGGGGCAAAGAAGGAACAACACGAGGAGAAACATCAGAAATACGAACGGAAAGAGAATCCTGCAGGCGAGATAACCGGACAGAAAGAGGGAGGTGGTGAAGAGGAACAGGAACCGCAGGAGGGGTAAAAGTTAAAGCACGACAGAGGCGAGAGGAAGGATGTTGCAAGGACCGCGCAAGATAGCGAAGACAGTAGCGATCACGGCGGTCCTGGAGAGACAGGAAGCCAGTGTCAACATACAAGCTAAGGACGGGAGTCGAACGAAAGGCACCAGAACTGAGGCGCAACCCAGTATGGTGCAAAGCATCAAGACGGCGAAGAGTAGAAGGAGAAGCAGACGAGTAAGCAGGGCAACCATAATCGAGCTTAGACAGGACGAGAGAAGAATGTAAAGCAAGGAGAGTGCGCCTATCTGCCCCCCAAGAAGTATGGGACAAGACCCGAAGGAGGGTAAGGGCCTTAGAGCACTCAACACGGAGGTAAGAGATATGGGGAGACCAAGACAAACGAGTGTCAAGAAATAACCCCAAAAGCTTCGCGGAATCTTTGTATTCAAGGGGATGACCATAAAGTGACAAAGAGGGACGAAGAACAACCCGTTTCCGCGTAAATGTCATGGCACAAGTCTTAGAAGTAGAGAACTTGAAGCCATGATCAGTGGCCCAAGACGACACGGCATCAATTGCAAGTTGAAGCCGGCGTTGAAGGAGAGGCGAATCATCACCCTGACAGCATAGGGTAAGATCATCGACATAGAGAGCGGAGAAGACACCAGAAGGAAGAGAGGAAAGAAGACCATTGAGGGCAACCAGAAAAAGAGTAGTGCTCAGAACACTACCTTGGGGCACACCTTCATATTGCTGAAAAGAGGGAGAGAGAGCGGTACCAAGGCGCACCCGAAAGGAACGACGAGAGAGGAAGCTGCGGAGAAAGAGAGGGAGATGACCACGAAGGCCAAAAGAATGAAGTTGAGATAGGATATGATAACGCCAAGTGGTGGCGTAAGCCTTTTCCAGGTCAAAAAGGACGGCAACAACGGAGGTCTTCGCAGCAAAAGCAGTACGAATATAGACCTCCAAGTTCACCAGGACATCTGTCGTGCTGCGGCACTTGCGGAAACCAAATTGAGAAGGGGAGAGGAGGTGATGGTGTTCCAGGAACCACATCAGACGAACGTTAACCATACGTTCAAAAA